GGAATATATATTCCTCTTAGTTTTAATAACAGTTAAAAACAACTTATCACAATTTTCACACAGTTTTGACTGTAAATGCAGACTTTTTATTGAAATTTGAATGATGCGAGATGTTTAATTTCTAAATTTTTGCTTGCTGCAATTTTGATTTAAGATATTGTGAAGTAGACCAAAAATTTCTAATAAGAATGTCTTAAAATCTGTTATGGAATGAGTTGAATGGTTTCTGTGTTTGGAAAGCAGTCAGCCTCCATCAAATTGTAGAAAATATTACCTCTTCTTATGTCAAGTTTGTTTGCCAAAAACTTATAATTCAGTTTTTAAGATGAGAGTTTTTAGGATTGAAAGCAATCAACAGGGATTCCCTGATAACTAATATTTGGAAACTGCGTCTAAAAGAAATCCTGTGAATGTAATGAGATAAACAGTTATATTCCCACATTGTTAGTAAATATTGATTATTGATTATCTCCCCTTACTTCTTATAAAGGTCGTATCTAATAGCGATGAGGTCATCTTCTATTGTGTTAAAGCTGCTGTAGTGAGGTGTATTCTTCCACGTTCTTATATTTACTGAACATGTTCTTGTATAGGTTCACTAAGGATCTAAATCTGAATTCTTGTCAAGAATCTATTTCTGGATAGATTTGCTAATTAATTTCTAGAAATACATTAACAGTGATCAAGCCTTATTAAAGTCATCCATTCAAACAAAAAAACTTAAAACTAAAGCCGTATTAAGTCCAAGTAATAACAAACGAAACATTTTAAATGTGAAGCCTTATCAATGTTCAAAAAGGTCTAATATTTGAATAATGAAATAGTTTAAGAAATACTCTTCACTGAGAAAATTGTTCCAAAGAGGTGAAATTGAGGTCTATCAGCTTGTAGACTAAGTAATACGATTTATTTTGTCCCTTTCACACCTTTTAGACGAATTACTGCCAAATATAGAAGTATTATCCCTAGACTAAGTATTAAAAAGTTCAGAATTGTTTGTATCAGACTATAGACATGTTTAATATAGATTATCCTATCTGTTATGTTACATGGAGTTATTATTCTAAACATAGTTCTTGCTATCATGTTTATTGTCTGGAACTTGCTGTTTCCACTTGTCTTTTCAACAAGGTAGAATACTAATCATGTTCATTACCTTAGATTCTCAACAACTTCATTCTATATTGATATATTATCAGGTTTTATTAATGAAAATATATTTTGTTTCATTGACTGAATCAGTAGGTCATGACTTCATCTTTTGGACTAAGTCATGCTGATATGATCATTTCATAATGATGCCCAACCTGATCAATTTTCTTATAATTATGTAATCAAGGTTTTATTAATGAAAATATATTTAAGTTCATGACTTATCAGTAGGCCACGAATTTATCAGTTCATCTTTTTGACAAAGTCGTGATGCCCTACCTGATTAACGTTCTATATTATTATATCATCAAGGTTTTATTAATGAAAATATATTTAAGTTCATGACTCATCAGTAGGCCACGAATTTATCAGTTCATCTTTTTGACAAAGTCGTGATGCCCTACCTGATTAACGTTCTATATTATTATATCATCAAGGTTTTATTAATGAAAAGTTTAAGTTCATTGACTCATCAGTAGGTCATGACTTCATCTTTTTGACAAAGTCATGATGTCCAACCTGAGGTCATGACTTCATCAAACGTGTTTGATCACTTCATTACATTTTACCTAATTTGGTCAGTGCATATTTACAAAATCCTGAGGTTATGATAGGGTTATATTGACCGAGAACATCCTGACCTATATTCCTACATCATGATTGATATGATCATTACTGTGATTTGATTATAACTTAATCATTACATTTTATCCTGATCTGATCATTACACCAAGACATAACTACATATTCTCGGATGGTCTTAATGCCATAATGTCCTAGGTTCTTATCTTTTAACACTGTTTCTATGATATCCTAGCACTAAGTTTCAAGAATATGTGGCCTAATCATAACACATCTTGTCTTGATCACTCCATCTTAACTTGATTTGATCATTCTATCTTGACATGATTTGATCATTCCATCTTGACTTAATTTGATCATTCCATCTTGACTTGATTTGATCATTCCATCTTGGCTTGATTTGATCATTCCATCTTGACATGATTTGATCATTCCATCTTGACTTAATTTGATCATTCCATCTTGACTTGATTTGATCATTCCATCTTGGCTTGATTTGATCATTCCATCGTGGCTTGATCATGGAATGAGATTTTTCTGTGTCTTTACATGAATCCTCATCCAAAAAGATTAACAGTAGTGGGCTAATATTAAATATTATTTTCAGGAGAACAATTTAGAAGATGGTACAGTAGAACTTGAAGAAACACCAGAAGATATTCATTATGCTGAATTTAAAGAAAATCTCCTTAAACTTCCACATTATACTGAAGCAGGTAAATGCCAATTTTTTTATGCAAAGAAAAGAAGGATCATTAGTATTTCGAATGGACTTTCTTGACGTATTTGAAGATTAATATCCTATGGGAACTAGAGAGTTACAGGGGTAGGGAGTGTCCACATTTCTTACTTGTTTTATCAATGTTTCCTGAATATAGCTGCCATTGGGATGCCTTTGGCTCTTGAGTTGAATTCTTGAGGTTGTCTTTGTCGTCTGAATTAAGAGTTCATTGGTCTTATTTCAACCCTTTTTCCATTGATAATTATTATTAGAAAGCAGATTGAATTCAAATCAAAGTGAATTTTCAAATGGTCGACATGTCTTGTAGTGCCTATCAGGATGACTATTTCAGTTGAGTTTTGAAAAATAAATTTGACATCAGTGAAAAACAGGTTGACCATCTAGATCAAAATGCAGGGACATAAAGTATTGAATGACAGCTAGAACATGATTTACACTGAAAGCTAATGTGTCTTAATGCCCAGTTAGAATAGCTTAATATAGTCATGATATTATGTTAAGTACAGGAATGATTACATTCCGTTTCATGATTTGTTCTGTTTTTTGTCATTGCATTATCTTAACTAACCCAACAAATCTGGCACTACTGGTTTAAAAAATCTGGAGATTGGGCGAAAAGTCAGGAGATTTTTTCAAAGCGCGTGATTTGAAACTCTAAATTGATTTTTCTTTTTTTTTAAAATAAGCTTTAAGCCTTGTAAATTAATTAAATTGATCATAGGCCTACATGACACAGTTAAAATTAACAATCTATAATTATGGATTATTCTAGAAATAGTGCCTGATATTTCAAAGAACAAATTTTGCATAAATTTTGGTATCTATACAAAGCATATAACCATTAATGCCTCCATATTTGGTAAAAGCTTGTATTTATGTAATAGTTTCATTCAAAATGGGTAGAGAAACCAATCATACTGTGAAGGGGCACTCAAATTGTTTTGAATATTCAATACAAGTTTTATGTGCAAAATGGATTTTTTTTTACCTGAAATCGATTAAATGGAGATTGTTTGAGAGTTTATTAAGTACTTTGATTGATTGTCCCCTCAAGGACACCTTTCCTTTGACATGTCTGACCCAGCATAGAGTATATCTCGACCTATGTCAGGAATGAACTGGTGAGATTATTGAGTAAACTAGCTAACTAACTGAGCTGTCCTATTGAATAATGATACAGTATGTCAGTGAGAATATTATTCAATAGACCTATAGAACCTGTAAATATAAGATATTTATCGAGAGGTGGTTGATTATAGACAATATATTCCCTAGTGGTGAATAAACTTTACATCTAGACTATACTGACAATAGCTTGTATATCATTTTATTCTAGACTGCTCTGTCTTAAATTAATTAGTCTGCTCTTTATCTTATATATGAAATGAAATGAATGGAGTTTTACATCTATGCTCAACTTCTATGCACCTAATGGGATAATAAGGACAGGCACCACACCATAGTGTGCAATGATGGAAATTTGCCAGGAAAGCATTAGCCTACTCTTTTTTTTCAATCTTAACTGTTGAGCGATCGTTAACGTACACAGCATGTAGCACACAGAGCCTCAGTTTGTCCCATCTGAATGACTGGATGTCAGCCCCTCCTAACTGCATTACAGTAAGGGGGAAACTTGGTTGAAAACTTCAAAGGTATTATCTCAACCATGCCAGTACCCACACAATACTACAAAATAAAGTGAGGGGTAAGCTTAACAGACAGTTGGGATAGCCCTCCCCTCAACTGTATTGTGGTAGTTGTGGAGCACATGGACATTTTAGAATAGAACTAGTTAACATTTTATGTCGGGCTCTAAACGTGCTGATATCCCATCTGAATACCACATGCGAGGATAGCTTACAGCCAGATTTGTTGAGCTAACTGGCTTGATGATCCTAGAGTTCTGTCTTTATTTCATGTTTAATAATCCTGTGTTTGTTTTTATCTAAAAGACTCGTTTATACGACCACATTTACTTATATTAGTAAATATACTTACGTATGACTTGATTTGATCATTCCATTTTGACTTTATTAGATCATTTCATCTTAAGTGTTGATTTGATCATTCCATCTTGTCTTGATTTGATCATTTCATCTTGTCTTGATTTGATCATTCCATCTTGTGTTGATTTGATCATTTCATTTTGTGTTGATTTGATCATTCCATCTTGTCTTGATTTGATCATTTCATCTTGTGTTGATTTGATCATTCCATCTTGTCTTGATTTGATCATTTCATCTTGTGTTGATTTGATCATTCCATCTTGTCTTGATTTGATCATTCCGTCTTGACTTGATTTGATCATTCCATCTTGACTTGTAAATATGCTTATGTGAGTAACATGTGACTGTATAAACAGGGCTTAAGCTAGCTTGTTGTCAAAGTCTTTCTATGAAGAGTCCCAGCTTTCCAGCCTAACAATTTTATCTATGCTAGCTTGATGACAACTGACAAGTCTTATCTCTAGAGTTCTGTAAAAATATTAAAAGTCTGAGCTCTCTAGTCTAACAATCTTGTGTTTTATTTTCTAGAAATGAAAGATATGAGTAGTAGTGAGATAAATGAAGTATTAAATGAATATGAAATGACAATAAAGGAATTATCTGGTATGTTGGTACATGAACTAGCTCTACGTGATGAATTAGAATATGATAAAGAACTCAAGAACCAGTTTATATCCTTGCTGCTGACCATACAGAAGAAACGCAGAGATAACAACGTGGACAAGAAGAAACGTAAATCTAAGACTGTCAGTCATAATAATAATAATGGAGCTGCAGAATCTCCAGTAAATGCAGTAAGTATTTTGATTTTTGTTCGTGTTTTTAAAATGGATTGTCAACAGATTTCTAAACTTTTTCGTGTATTAGAAATGAATGGAGTTTTACTTTTCTGTATCGTGTGGGCTAATTTTTCATGTATTGGAGACACTGATAGATAGCATCATATGCACCATTCCAATTTTCAGTCAAAAACTAAGCATTTTTTGGTGTAGCTATTACAAAGGCCCAACACTGTGTTATCATTTGTTATATAGGACTAACAATTGTATATATTATTTATACTTAATTAACTTTGACTATAATTATTCCAGCATTTAACTACAGTGATACCATATCATCCAAATCAAGGTGCCCCAACATCAGAACAATTGCAGATTTACATAAAAAGTAAGTATTGAAAGAGAAATTTTAAAGCATTTGATGTAAATTGAAATCATAAATAATTGGTGCTAGCTTTCTTATGTTTAAAAAAATTTGGTTCTTTCCTGGAAAATTGTCTGCAATATATGACCAAAAGACTTTTTTGATAACCTTAGGTTGGGGAAGTTAGGTGCTCAAATTTATGAAATTATAGACCAAAATCTAGAGAAATGTGCCCTTACCTTAATTTTTTAGAATGTGGAAACTATTAAAAATGTTAACGAATATCACCAATGTTTTATATTTGTAGTTTTGCAGGCAATAAATGAAGATAGTTCTACAGTCCCTACTCTTCTTACAGATTATATCCTTAAAGGTAGGGTAATCATGGTGTTTTATAGGATATACTCAACAAGATATTGTTTTACCAACTATACCCATATTGAACTTTCAGATTGAAATTAATAACTGGATATCCTACAATTCATCAAAAAAGGACATGGATGTTTAGACTTTTGTCACTTCCAGTCTGCTTTTTCGGCATACTCATATGCAGTTTTCTAAATAGGGATTTTGGCTTTAAGTATTGCACACAAAAATGTTGATAATGGCCTTGAACACAGTCTAAACTAAGATCAGATTATATTATTTTGTTGACACTGAGGTCATTCTTGAACCTATTGAAGACTTTAATGACTACAAGCTGCCTTAACATTTGTACTGTGAGATGGTGATATGGTAACAGGGCAGGACATGCTTACCCTTCCAGGAACACATGATATGAGTTTGTAAACTCTTTTAATGAAAAACTTTGAAATAATTTTTATTACTCTCTTTCAGTATTATGTCCAACGTAATGTTTACAACACAAGTGCAAGAATGCTGCCAAGATTCAAGATGGCTGCCAGAAATCAAGATGGATGCCAAGTTGTTTAATAATAGTGCTAGATAAATTACCTAGCTTTTTATACCAAACTTTTACCTACTTTGTTTCAATGTTATTAAATGTTGTTTGTAAATCAAATACTACCAGCGAGCCGACAATGATCAAATATGAGGCCAGCAGCACGCGATTTTTGTCAATCAGTGATATGAAAATATTGTGGGTGTTATCTTCATTGTCAAGGTGTTGCGAACTTCATCTTATACCTTGACTGCAATAGCCACCTTTCTAGTATCTTCTTTAGGTGTATGCATATAACGACATGTCTTGCACTGGATCTTTTAAATTGCATGGCTTTTGATTTCCAGAATCAAACTTTTGGCATTTTCTTCATGTGAATGTTGACTTTAAGATTTTTTCACAAAATTTAAGCAAGTAAGCAGTGCTTGAAATTTTTGTGCTCGATGCTGATAATATTTTTACATCCTGTTTTTTCAATTTAAATGATCACCTGTGTTGCTGGCTTCATTCAGCTTTTACTTGTTCTAATCAAAATGAAGATCAATGTTTTTATATCAAAATATGAAAAAATTAAAAAAAATGTTTGAAAAACTGAAAAAATCATGATAGCTTTAATGTCTCAATTGTCAAGTCATAATGTAAAATTTCATCCATTTTTTATCTGAATACATCTCATATTGTACATTTCTTGCATGGAATAATCATTTTTGGCATAGCATTATGTGTGGCAGGCCATTATCAACTGTGGCAAGGCATAATCATCTGTGGCAATGCATTATCATCTGTGGCAATGCATTATCAATTCTATTTGTTATCATATGTGGCATAGCATAATTTCCTCTGATCTTAGATATGTCTGACAATTTAACTAGTGCAATGTAATTTTGTGATCTCTTATAGAAAACTGCCATTATAGCATTTAAATTGATCATTTAGATATGGTACAATGTAATGTCACAGCACAATATTCTGTAACTAAAATAAATGACTGGCTAATTATAATATAAGGCATAGTTTTGAGAAAGCTGGCACGTGGCATAGTAGGCTGTTGTGGCAATTAAGTATGCCAGTTTATTAAATCAAATTTGCAGCATTCTTATAGTGGGAATTGCCTGTAAGATCATATAAACACTGTGCTTATTTATTATAATGGAAAAGGCTTGCTATACTTGCTTATTTATGTTAATTACATATATACCTGTTTAACTAATAAGATATGATCATAATCATATAATTTATTCAATATTAAGGAATTCCTCAGTATAATTTTGCTTCAGAAACTTGTACAGAATAAAATGATTGTTAATATTCTATATATTATCTTTTCTATGTAGTATTATATTTATTAATTTATTGTGATTTCTAGTTCTAGCTGTGTCAGTCAGCTATACCATAAATATATATAATCTATTAAAATTCAATACATGATATTATGATAAATATGTAAGTTTATGATATTACAGTAATAAAGTTATTTTGCTGCATCTGTGAGTAAACTTACAATAAAGACGCATGTACACTCTTTATATTAGTAGGCTTATAAGTAAATTTGTATATGCTATATGAATCAGTAGGTTTGTAATGTTCCTTATCAGTGAAAGATAGAGGTGCAATGGCAATGAAGAAGTTATGAACCTCACTGACAAAGATCTGGCAAGTCGAGTTCAACCAGAGAACTTGAAACATTGGCAGTGATGCACTGAAATTTTCAACATATGAAGATGAATTTTTCTTTCTTAAATATGGCTTTATTTGATGTTTAGGAAGAAACTTTTAACTTCCATTTCGATCATCTTCAAACATTTGCATTGCACAAATCATAACTGCTTCATTTTAGAGCTTGCTACCTCCTTCATTCACTGATGTTTTTTTGTACCAACTAATCACCCTGGGCCAACTCACTCATTCAAGTATATTTCTCACCAATAGTGAGTTTTAATTGAATATTTTGCTAATATCTGTAGATATCTGCATAACTATGTTATATATGTTGGTGTGATATGAACGTCTCCATTGATTTGGAATTTTTTTGCATCTCGCTTAAATGAATCATTGTGTTGTCCCAGAGAATTAATTAAGGTACAAAATAAAATCTTGAATGTACTTGAAGATGTCTCTCTTGAAAGATGGTCCAAACTTCATTAACTAGCAAGGTTTTGTAAATATTTGTAATGTAGTGGGACATTTAGAATCTTGATGTATATTTATGCTATGTTTTAACCGTTTAAACTTGATAATTTAAACTATGGCAATGACCAGATAAAAACCAATTGTACATAGAATTTATTACACCTAGCTTCATAATAGTAACATGTAAATAAAGCCATTATAGTGCAAGGTGAAGGTTAAAAATAACACTGTCAAGAGCTCAATACAACATTTTTTTATTTGATTGATTCCAGAATGGAAACAGACTGAAACTGTTCAGAGCATACCAATCAAGCACCACCTTTATGAAAAGAAAAGAATTAAGAAATTGGTACGCTCATTGAAAATACCAAAGTTCAGAGAATAAATTGCTAAAACCAAATGCAGAGTATATCTAATGGAAAGCTTCAGGTTGTGAGAGTATTTTTATCATTATTGAGCTACATATACTCAATTTGACCTACTCAAAGCGTTTGCTTTAAGTTGTGAATTAGAAAAGGTGGGAATTGAGCTTCTGAAAGTGTTATTTTAATAGTTAAACCTTTAAAATCATAACCATATCTGTATCATACATCTACATGTAAAAGTAGTAGTAGATCTTAGTTATTTAGAATTTTTCATTGATACTGCTTTGTGACTGATGCCTTTGAATATGAAGTCCTTTTTATCACTACTAAATAAACTTCTTTAACTGGTAAATAAACTGGCATTGTTAAATGCTTAAAGTTCACCTACACCATAGCGATTACCAATTGTTTACAGTTGCGAATAATGAAAGTGTTCATTGGTTCTCACAACTCAGTGGCATGAGAGTTGCATTTGATATATACAGTCATACACAACTGGTAATCGCTATTTTGTGACGGCAATTTTAAATGGTAAATATAGCTGGCTTGCAAACGTAACAATTGTTTCAATTTTGAAATCCCCATGTTCAACTGATATTATTGGGCAAAGTGCAAATATATGGAGTATCTTGTATTATAGTAACGCTGTATATAAACTGCCTTCAACAGTATTTTGTCTTAGTTGTTAGGTTTTTAATCAAAACATTAAAAATCGAAAAAAAATATAAAGATCAAACATCAATAGAAATAAATTAACCAATAAACTATAGTTTATAAGTTTTTATCGAACCTGTTCAATCATGACATTTGACAAGCATTTAGTCAAGATAGATAATGTAATGGAAAAGTTTTAGGTAACAAAATAAGTAAAGTAAATTCCTAAAGTAAGGAAACTGAATTAATCACTGATAAAAAAAGACTTCTCAATTGGCAATATCCAGTGTTAGTTTAAAATGTTATTGAAGTATTTGATTGACCTGCTAAATGGCTATAATTCAAATGTGGATGCTTGGTTAGTGATATTATGAGGAAATATGGCGTGTACAGGTCTGCTGATAGAAATGCTTATAGACCCAACCTGCATAATTCTAAAGGAAAATTTGAACATTCCCAAATTATTAAATGGAATATTTCTGATATCAAAAACCAAAGTTAAATAAATATTACCTCTTAGAATGACCATTAAATTTAAAGTCTCAAACTCAGTCAATAAGAGCATTTTGGCCAAGTTTAAACATTAAAATTTGTTGGTCTTCCCAAGAGGTAGTGTTCATTTAAATGATAATTATTATTATATGTTGCTTTTAAATATTAAATTCTATATAATAGTATATACACTGTTAAATCATATTATTGCTTATTCTATGGACTGTATCTTAGGTATGTATATGGGTATTGGTATGTGAATGTAAAGAGCTTTATGGTTTTTGCCAGCCTCAATTTTACTTGTAGCTTGTATGGATAAAGACTCTGTTTCCTGATTTTCTTAAAAATCTGTCTACATATTTGATTTGTTTTCTGATTGAAAGCTGGAAACAGAACACAGATGCTGTAAAAATATCAATTTGGCTTTGTTTAACATCTGTATCAATTATAATTGAACCTCGAGCTTATCTCAATCTTGATTGTCATGCCTTTTCAATATATAAGTAACCTCATATAATATAATGTTCGGCCCACTGTTAAGTTATTTGCTGAAATTTTTGTAAAATATAGAAGTTAGTCAGTACATTAAACGCTAAGAATTGAAAGAAAAGGTAAAATGTATAGTCCACACTCAGAAGTTAAGACACTTTAGGTCAATTTTTTAGATTTATATTCTATGGCACAGTCAAACCACTCTCTTGACTGGTATATTATTATTTTACAGTTGTAATGAGTATTGGATATCAATATGCATAATTTATAATAAACTAGAGTTATTACTGTCTTATTATAGTTGTAACAGCTGTTATGAATTCCTTTATATCTCAATAATATACTTGTTATTATGTTAATTTATTTCCACAAATATTCAATATCAAAAGCTTAAATATAGCAAATATTCAAATTTATATATGATAATTTATAGTATTCATCAAAAAATTATTTATCAAGTTAATCAAAAATCGAAATGGAAATATTTCTTATTGCATAATACATAGCTATGGTAAGGCATACAACTAAAGAGATTTATTGCTCAGTAGTTTAAACAAATTTTACTACTTTACAAGTTGAGTTTCGGAAAAAAACCCAGCAAGAGCTTATGCGTGTCTGTCACCAAAATTGGAACTATTTTTATCTCACTCTGTCTTTAAAGAACCAATTTGATTCTTTAAGTTTCTCAGATTTAAGTCATTGTTTTGTGGGTATAAATTCTGGAAATTGATGGCAAATACTGATTGAGTTGTGTTATGTTAATGTGCTTTATGTTATAAATTCATAATATATCTTAGATGTTGATCATTCTTTTGTAAATAATCAGTTGATGAAAATCCTTGTTTTTGTAAGAAATAATTTATTCTGTATAATCTTTGTTGTAATTTTGTAGCTTTTATTGAAGACTCTATACAATAAATATGGCTTTGTGAAAACTTTTCTTTTTTGTATTGGTGATTGATCAGGAGCCAGGTATCAAATAACCAGTAAAAACTCACTGGTGTATATCTATCTTGGTGAGCAAATTTTAAATAGAAATTTGAATTAATATTAGATCATCTGGTTTAGAACTCATGAGTAAATATCGGATCATTAGTCTAGAACTTGTGAGTAAATATCGGATCATTTGTCTAGAACTATGAGTAAATATCATCTGGTTTAGAACCCGAGTAAATATCAGATCATCCTGGTCTAGAACACGAGTAAATGTCAGATCATCTGGTCAATAACTCGTGAATCAATATAAGATCATCTGGTCTAGAACTCATGAGTAAATATCGGATCATTTGTCTAGAACTTGTGAGTAAATATCGGATCATTTGTCTAGAACTATGAGTAAATATCATCTGGTTTAGAACTCATGAGTAAATATCGGATCATTAGTCTAGAACTTGTGAGTAAATATCGGATCATTTGTCTAGAACTATGAGTAAATATCATCCTGGTCTAGAACACGAGTAAATATCAGATCATCTGGTATAGAACACATGAGTAAATATCAGATCATCTGGTCTAGAACTCGTGAGTAAATATCAGATCATCTGGTCTAGAACTTGTGAGTAAATATCAGATCATCCTGGTCTAGAACTCTTGATTAAATATCAGATCATCTGGTCTAGAACACGATTAAATATCAGATCATCCTGGTCAAGAACTCATGAGTAATTATAAGATTATCTGGTCTAGAACTCGTGAGTAAATATCAGATCATCTGGTCTAGAACACGAGTAAATATCAGATTATCTGGTCAATAACTCGTGAGTAAAGATAAGATCATCTGCTCTTTAATTCGTGAGTAAATATCAGATCATCTGGTCAATAACTCGTGAGTAAAGATAAGATCATCTGCTCTTTAATTCGTGAGTAAATATCAGATCATCTGGTCAATAACTCGTGAGTAAATATCAGATCATCTGGTATAGAACACATGTGTAAATATCAGATTATCTGGTCAATAACTCATGAATAAATGTCAGATTATCTGGTCAATAACTCATGAATAAATGTCAGATTATCTGGTCAATAACTCGTGAGTAAATATCAGATCTGGTCTAGAACACGATTAAATATCAGATCATCCTGGTCTAGAACTCATGAGTAATTATAAGATTATCTGGTCTAGAACTCGTGAGTAAATATCAGATCATCTGGTCTAGAACACGAGTAAATATCAGATTATCTGGTCAATAACTCGTGAGTAAATATCAGATCATCTGGTCAATAACTCGTGAGTAAAGATAAGATCATCTGCTCTTTAATTCGTGAGTAAATATCAGATCATCTGGTCAATAACTCGTGAGTAAATATCAGATCATCTGGTATAGAACACATGTGTAAATATCAGATTATCTGGTCAATAACTCATGAATAAATGTCAGATTATCTGGTCAATAACTCGTGAGTAAATATCAGATCATCTGGTCTAGAACTCATGAGTAAATATCAGATCATCTGGTCTAGAACTCATGAGTAAATATCAGATCATCTGGTCTTTAATTCTTGACTAAATATCAGATCATCTGGTCAATAACTTGTGAGTAGATATCAGATATCTTTCATCTTTTAAAAAGTTAGATACAAAAACTTTGTTTTTTTTATTGGAATATGATAAAGACTAAGTATCACATACAATTAGAATACAATAGAACACACAACTGAATTTACATCTCTTAATAACCTGTATAGCCTGTTTACAGGTCTGATATTGTCACTCTAACATCCAGCATTTTAACCCTTCTTAACATCATATTACTAATTTTTGTGTAAATTTCTCACAATTTTAGTGACATGAATTTTTTGAAGAACATATGATCAAAAATTTTGTCAATGCTTTAATTTTGTCAAGATTATCACAATGTAAAAGAATACTGATCATTGCTGTTATTCACATACAATAATAACATGAATTTCTAATGAAATTTAGCACAAAAGTCCACAAAAAAAATTAGTGAAACAAAAAATGAAAATGAAATATTTTTGCATCATGTGGTAAAGCATTAATTTGTCTGTTAAGAGTATCACAATTCTCGTGATTTAAATGGATGAAAAAAGATTTCCCTCTTATTGACCATCTTCACAATGTTAAGCTATTACAAACTTATACCTTGACTGCATTAGCCACCTTCTTGTATCATTGAAGCCACAATGTTTACATTCTCTCTGCCAAGGGCCCTGATTGGTGTACAATCCAATCAAATGGCTACATTCCCTGTTATTACAAAGAGGGCTATTTTAGTAAGGTATATTTATGTAGTTGGTAGGAGCAGGACATTGTGAAGATATCTATTTACATGCAAGATATGATCAAGTCTGTTCTAAGGAGTACCAGGGGACCTTGATCGTGATTTGGGTTTGGTATTCTGTGGTACAGGAGTCTTAGATCTGGATCTCGAGTCTCTTTTACGACTGACACTTCGGCTTCTGCTGCGACTGGCACTTCGACGACGACTGGCACTTCGACTCCTGGATCGGCTTCTGCTTCTTGAAGAACTTCGTCGTCGAGAACGGCTTCGACTACGACTTCTGCTCCTGGGGAAAGAAATTTATCTTTCTTCAAAGTTAAACAAAGTCCACAAAACATCAATTATTGACATTGTGATAAGCTGCTAATTTTTTTTTTATTACATTTGAGATACTTAGGACTCTATGGCTTGTTGTCAGAGGCTCACAGCATTGCTTTCTCAGATCCTACTTTTAGAAATCTGATTGGTTAGAGGCTCACAGCTTTCTCAGATCCTACTGATTGGTTAATACAATCAAAGTTATAACATCAGCCAATAAGAGTTCTTAGAATTCCTTGTCTACCGGAAACTATCTGCTTAAAACTACAAATGAACAGTTGGGCTTAATCAGATTCACTTAAACGACCATTGTAGAGAATGCAATAGTTCAGATTATTGAAGAGATGATGGCATATAATAAAAAGCCTGCATCTAACCTACCTTTTAGAACTGTCGTCAATAAGATGAATCTTTCTACCATTGATTTCAGTACCATCAAGTTTACTCATGGCATTCTTTAAATCAGCAGCAGATGAAAACTCTACAACACTGGAAACAAATATCAATGATAATCAAGACAAATTCCAATTTTTTTTCTTTGTATAAAAAATATTTTATCCAATAAAGGCAAAGGATCGGGAAACAAGCTTATTGTAGCCTACTTCATCCCTCTCTCAAATTCTTATTTTTTCACAAAGTTAATTTAGCTCTGTATTCAATAAAACAAATAAGTTGTTTCATACCATTTGATAACAGAAGGGGCGAATTGTATTAAAATTAACAACGTTTTAAGAGAACATTTGTTTTAAGAAAGAAAAAATTATAATTATAGCCAGATCAGCACAATTTTGCCATTTTGTTGCTTGGATATTCTATGGGTTTTACTGTACAGAAAGACTACTTGATACAAAATTACATACAGTGGTCAATCACTCCTTCTCTCCCCTAATTCAAAGTTCAAGCAGACTTACCCAACATTCTTTTCTTTCTTATGAGCATCAGCATAAGTCACTTCTCCAGCTTGTCTCATATAGTCCTTCAAATCCTACAATATATCGTCATTTTTCATTATTTACTGTTCATTGTGGAATATTAAATATATTTTCAATTTCTTACTTGTATCTCTGGATTCTTAAGTCATCAGCTAAAAACATACTTCATTTCATCAACTCAGTTTTCATATTTGCACAATGCACAATAAAATTTTAATTTTTCTACATTTTCACTTCTTTTTAAATCTTCAATGCAGGCAGGAAAATTTTTTTTATTTAAAATTTTTCATATGACATTGCAGAGTAGGATTAAATTCAGCAAATAAAATTGTTAGGAGTAAATTACCTCTACAATTCATCCCGTTAAGATCAATATGAAACAGGGTCTTAGAGTTGACTAAACTCTTATATTACTCAATATATACATCAACATCAAGCCATTTAAATGAGCTCTCCAGTGATTTATAAAGCCACTTCTCATTCAATACAAGAGCAGACCAAACCAAGGCAAAGATGAGGACATCAAGAAAAAACACCAATTCTTTGTAAAATGAAAATTGCCATCCTTCTAACTCAGGTGAATTTCTACATTCTAAACCTTGGGAGACCTCTGGTGATATTGGACAAAGCTTGGATGTATCTGTGTTATATCAGAATTGAATTTCGCCCTTCTATAGTGTAAGCAGACTGGATGAGCCTATTATTTCTGAACTATCTCTATCCCTCTTATTGAGCCGTTTGTGATTCTCGGGTAGCCCTCTTTTGAAATCAATCATATTTATATAGAATTCTTAGAACGCTACAAAATAAAATAATCATGAAATTATTATGATATGAAATTGTGAAGTAACATAATAAAGAGTGTGACAGGTCCACCACGAATACAGAGTGCCATAAAGCCAAGAAAAAGTTATGACAACACTGGAGGAAATTAAACAGAAACTACAAACCTGCCAACTGACTCGAGACGATAAATTCTCCACTATCACTCTGTTACCAGTCCTTGTAGGGGGTCCATACCTTGTTTAAAATAGTGTTCAGTTATAATCCTGGGTAACAAGAGTCTAAGAAGCTTTTCAGCAATTTACATGCATACCACTCTATATCAAAAGCCAAAATATTGCACAATAATATAAAATGGCGTCAAAGTTAAAATCTTCACTCCTTAGCACAACACAGAAATAATACAAGAATACACAAGACTAAGAAAAGTACGAAACTAATTTAAACTTACTTGTCATTTCTAGCTTGTCGTCTATCAAAAAAGCTACCCCTTCCCCTACTGCTGTAACCTCCACGACTTCTGAACCCCCCACCACCACGACGGTCTCTGTAATCATCATTACTGCGTGGACCTCTGGCATGATTTACTACAACCCTAGAATCAAGTATATATCATTCAAATTTAGAATCATAATGAGCAGAATTTTACAAAACATTTACCTACAAAAGTCAATTGAAATTCTTCAAGCACACATCACTTGAAAATCATATATTTGTTCATAACTTAAAAAAAAAATTATTTCAATAGCTACTAGCTATTAGGATTTTGAGTCTAGTTTTAAAGTTCTGATCGTTTTTTTTAACTAGTTTCCCTAATTAAGCACCAATATACTCACCTTTCTCCCATCAAATCTTTACCATTTAATTCATAAACAGCATCATCAGCATCTCGGTGGTCGTCAAATTCCTGTACAAATATCACAATCAATGTAAGTATACATGTAGTTATAGTTTAAGTTACACAAAAGGAACTATATATTTGAATAACATAGAAAGGCTTTTTCTTAAAATTGCTGTTATCAATTACTAAGGCTTGTCAACTACAATTTTTGACAACCAGAAACTTGTATGAATAAAACTTAATTTAAATTCTATCCTTGACCTAATTGATATCAGATTACATATTGACATGCATTACAGAAATAATATTAATTACCAGTCTGTATAATAAATACAGCTGTAAACTGATGTAAAGAAAATAAAACTGTATCAAATAACATGATGATTGTTATCAATTGAAATAAGGAAACAAACAAATTGAATATCAAATTTATTTAGAGTTGTCATAGTTTCATTGCTTTTAATACTTACAACAAAGCCATAACCAGTTTTCATCATAATATCTCTGATTCTGCCATATGATTTAAAAAACTTCTCTACATCTCTTTCTTTAGTATGATGTGACAATCTACCAATGTATACTCGGGTACCCATTTTCTTTTATCTAATGAATTAAAAATTTACAATTAAATACCTGTGATAACCCACAGGATATCTAAACTAGTCTACTGCCCAGCTAGATGCCTTTCCATTGATTAATTTTAAAATTACCATATTTATCAAACAAAGTATTACTTCACATTAGATTAAGCTGGGCTCTCTGCTTGGTTGGCTTGATTGATTGAATTAAGCTTATTCTATATTTAGTTAGGCCTATTACATTTACACTTTTTTTTTTCTCATATAGGCTGAGCTTAAATCAGTTATGATATCTATAGCCACTATAGGTAACAGTCAGTCTAACCAAGCATTGACTTTTTGGATAAAACTATGGAATTTTAGTAAATGTCTAATCTTTTCCTTTGTTTTTTACCAAGCAAATTGCCACTTTTAAGTCTCTCTCTCGCATGGTTTCAACACCAAGTCCCCCACTAACAAAATAGACGAATTCTCTGAGAATGTAGGTCAGCCCAAGCTTGCTAAACTGATCAAAATTATTTAATTTGACTTGTGTTTTGTATACAAAGCTATAGCATTGTCCCAAACCTTCAATATCTATATTACTTTATATTATAAGGAGTACCTACTTTACGTAAATGGACAACACAATTCTTTTCCTCAGTTCAATGAAATAGCGTTTCTCCAAAGATGGCTTTGTAGTCTTGATTGTCATACAATAAAAATAACAGAACAAAGCGTCTTCATGACCTTGACAACAAAGTCACATGATAAGTGACGTCATGAACGTACAAGGTGTTTTCAAGCCTCCTATGAAAAGAGTAATCAAGGGGAATAACTATTCCATTTCAAGCTACAACGGATTGTTTTAATCTGCCTCAGCATTTCTCTTCCCTCACATGTATTTACTTAAGATGCAAGAGGCAGTCACTTGTACTCCATGAACAAGTCTAAGATTCTGAGTCATCACAGCTTCATTGCATTATGCATAAATTAAGTACCCTTGGTTTCATGGTCGAGATCAAATGAGCACATGCATTTGACAAGAAAAAAAAATTGTGATTTTCAATTTTTATTACAAAAGTACTGATATGAATTATTTACAAAATGAGACATCATAAACATAATGTATGTACATGGAAAGCTGGTTCAAATATAACGCTAAAATAATTCATCATTGTTTATTCACATGAGACCTTGATCACTTTATCCAAATAGCTTGGTATGAGGCTATGAAAATTAACGATTGAAATCAATCTATTTGTTAGGAGAGGGGTCTGTTAATCAGCTTCAAAAATATAAATGAAATAAAACTAATATATTTTTATCTCCTACTTAAAAAATACAGGAGGCTGAAAATAGGTAAGTTGTCTGAAGATCGCATAGCGTGAAACTCTGAGTAACAACAGTTCTGTTTTAATATTTCTATTGCTGTAGTCAAAATATATTGACATTCCCTCGATAATATTATATATGATAGCTTGTATAACAACTAGGGCTTTATCCTCTATCATTAATTACAGTCAAATTTAAGGATGGCCCATTTAAACTATTAGTATGAATGATTATCTAAAAGATTGAGAAAAAGAATCCCAATAGGTTTCTAAATACAGGTATTTACACTCTTAGGGAATTTCTACCAAGAACATTTAAGTCAGGGAAAAATTTGGACACAAAAGAGAAGCACAAGATGAACAATTAAGTTGATAATAAAACAATAAGAGAGTTAATCATCATGTTTTGCTGCACTACCAGCTGCTGCAGGCGATCTTGATTTCGAACGAGAATCAGAACGTGACCTTGATCTTGATCTAGATTTACGAGCGGGACTCTTAGATCTTGAATCCCGTTTTCCATTTCGACTGCCACTTCTACTCCTAGATTTACTACGACTCCTGCTACGGCTTCTAGATCTGCTGCGACTTAGAGATCTACTGTGGCGCCCTCTTGATCGCGATCGACTTCGACTGAAATAGAAATTTAACCATTGCAAGAATTTAATATTTTGTGTGCTCAATATGTGAAGAGATACAAAATGCACCAAAAAAAAACCCCACAGACTCAAAATGAGAGTTTGTAATTCTAAAAGTTATGTTATAAATAAACTTTTTGAAAATCTGTTTTTCGAAATGTTTTCACCAAATGAATTAATCATGTATTATCATGCACCTGTTTCAATAAATTAGAATATATTTTTGTAAAAAAAAAAAAAAATGGACATTACCTTCTTTTCTTGGGTCCATCATAGATCATCTTTATTTTTCTACCATTTATTTCAGTACCATCTAGTTTATCTAACGCTGTCTTCATATCAGTATATGAAGCAAACTCCACAACACTGAAAGTAACCAGAAAATATTGATAACGCTGTCTGGTCATTTATCACGAACTGTGTACCAAGCTAATTTGAGCAGATAAGAAGTTTCAAAGCCCTACATAATCAAAGAGAAGTCAGCTCTTGGCCATGTTTAGACTAAACCTTTAAAACTGTGTCTTGATAAGCATTCAGCATTAAGTGTTTATCATCAACAATGATATGACCCGAAAGATGGTAAAACATCATTATGCTATCAAGATCTGTAAATCTAAGAAACAAAGAGCATCTACTTCCATTTCTGTGACCAGATTATGTGTTTTTCACACCAACACTGTGACCTAAAGTGTTTTAACTTGTATAGTGTTCAGTAATATAAAGGTATCATCAGTATTTGTATGCCCCGAAAGATGGTAAAACATCATTACACTATGCGATAAAAACTTGCCTACTAAGGAAACAAAGTGCATCTTTTTCGGTGATAAAAGTGATGAAATGACGTCAAAACTGAGAACAAATGTGTTTGCAAAAAAGTTTTTAATAATATATATAGCATTCAGCATTAAATAATTATCATCAGCAATGATATGCCCCGAAAGATGGTAAAACATCATTATGCTATAAAAACTTCCAAACCAAGATACTAACTGCATCATTTTCACACCAACAATGTGAGCAGATGTGTATACAAAAGTATAACAAAAATAGTGTTCAGTAAAATAAAAATATCATCAGCAATTATATGCCCCGAAAGATGGTAAAACATCACTACACTATTACACATTTTGTCACTGACATGGTGGATTTCAGCTGAAATTAACAAATGAATCTGACAGTGGTGTATATTTTATGAGCAACTTGTCCATATGCCAAACGATACAAATTGGAAAAGCAAAAACGAAGACATGGTCTCTCCATAGCTTACCCTTCATTTTTATGTTTCTTATGAGCATCAGCATAAGTCACTTCTCCAGCTTGTCTCATGTAGTCCTTCAAATCCTACAAAAGATAAATACAACAAATCAACAATTGTCACCACTCTTTGTTAGACCAATGACACCAGGACCATTTCAAGCAAGAAGAGGGTACAAGCCCATGCAAAACAAAACCATATCCCAACCCAAAGCTATAGAAGAGACTAAATTGATGAAAGGTGTTCAGCAAAATATATTATCATCAAAAATGATATGCCCCGAAAGATGGAAAAACATCATTACACCAATTCATAAATTTTTCAGGTACTCTCTTGCAAATAAAGAAGCGCTTGATAAACAAACACCTTGCACAGATCAAATCAGTGCTGATTACATTTACTGTTCAAATTACCTCTTCTTTCTACTGTTCTAAACAGACTTAAACATCCTTCTACCCTCAACCCTTACATCCTTCCTCACATCTTAGCAACATCGGCTGGCAGTCTGTAGAGACTATTAAGTCTCCAGACCTTCAGGGAACAGCTGGGTCCAAATGCCATCAAGAACAAGAGACATCTGAGTGACTGGGGCTTCCTGAACTTCTTACGTCATCATCTATCGTCAAAACTCTGCTAGACATCAGCAGGGTTTGAAACACATCAGATACTTGAGCTCAGAAATTTCATCATTTTCATCGCAGCCAATTTTTGAAAGTGGACATCATTTTGCCATCATCTTAAAATCAGGATAGCCTAAGCTACATCATCTTGCAAAGGACATCTGACATCTAAGGACCAACAATTCCCATATTACCCTCAGTCATCGTCATCATCTTTCAAGAAGATATAACACACATTTAAAATTAATGGGATAAAAACCTTTTATATTCTGATGACATTCCATTCCTATTTTTCCTTGCAAAGTTTGAGATATTACGGCAATTTCTCTTGAAAGTAAAAGCTAGGCATGTTTGAAGAAATGACAAATTTTAGTTTTGAGATCAGTCTATCAATATCAAAGAACAATCTAGGACTGGGACATTTAACATATCAGTGTCAAACCCAAAATTTCTGCTGGATTTCTGTTTTATGTTTAACTCAATGATTTCATCAGCTAATAGATCTAAACTTATGGATTGCGATTCAGATTAACACCAGTCTGTTTTCTCCCTGTGTCAATCATGTGACATTCAATTTCGAACAGAGAAATTTGAAAATTTATACACTCGTTTTATATATTTCTTTAAGAATGCATCTCAGTTTGTGATAATGGTATATGGCCCAGTCCTAGAATTATGCCTTGATAAATTTGAGGTTACATGAATCTATGCAGTGTTATGAAAACATGGTATATTGATGAAGACAACTATAAGAATGCTTAAAAACTTAACTAACCTGCCAGCTGACACGAGACGATAAATTCTCCACAATAATTCTATTATCAGTACGTGTTGGTGGACCATATCTGTTAAAGCAAAGAGAATAATAATGAATGAATGCATCAAATAAGGATTTTAAGACTATCTAAAAGTACATGGTATAAGCTTACAGACTCAAATTCACAAGACAAAAGAAATCAAACTGGCTTAACAGTCTCAAGCTATGGCATGACTTTTAGAACACTGATTAAAGAAACTTTTACTGTAACTGATTAGAGCAGAATACATACTTGGTTAACCATGAAGGCACAGTATTTCTTCGAAATCCCCCATCACCTCTACCGCCCCCTCTATATCCACCATCTCCACGTCCCCTGGCTCCTCTTGCTATTTCTAGATATATCCTGAAATAACAAATGGATTGTAACAAAGAATCAAATCCACCCAAGGAGCCTGTACATTCATATTGCAGTTATAAGTCATCAAGAGTGTCAGGCAGAAAACTGACTTTAATTGAAAAGTAATTTTACTAATCTAATCAAATATTTCATTTTTCTGTTCAAAATCAATCTTAAAAGCTAATTCTTAACATAAAAAGTTCTTTTTTTCATTATAAGTATGTTACCATACACATCAAATAAGGGACATAAACTTATAATTCATTTACCTTTCCCCACATAAATCTTTACCATTTAGTTCATAAACAGCATCATCAGCATCTCGATAATCTTCAAATTCCTAAAGAATAACAATTCCATTCTAGATTTTTCTCAGACAAAATTACTTGTTGCTCTCTTGTTCTTAAATGAATATCTTGTCAGATATACTTGAGCCTCTTGATTATTAATATAAACTAAAGATTGTACACAAGTCATGTAAACTTGTATGTTTTAAAGAAAATAAAGCTATATAACAGTATGTACTTATGCTTGCAAATATGAATAAAGTTCTTACAATAAATCCATAGCCATTTTTCAACTGAATATCTCTGATTCTACCATAACTTCTGAAGAATCGATCGACATCCCTTTCTCTAGCATGATGAGATAACTTGCCAATGTAAATTCTAGTACCCATTTTTCTGTAAAGAAACATAATAGGGGGTTCAAATTTTTTCATACATTATTGTTCCTTTATTTTGAAGATTCAAAAATTAAGTTCAAGACCTGGCCATGTATTCTTGAAATGGTCTTAGCCCTGGGATGTCCTAAGATCAATGTTAGAAGATAAGAACCTAGGATAACCCAGCGCTAAGATGCTAAGATCGTTTCGAGAAAACACCACCTGAATAGTGAATGATCAAAATAAAGGTCAGGATTTTGAACTGGGATTACGAATTAAAATAATTCACTGGCACCACTTTCTGAGAGAACTGAATGCTATCATCAATCGCCAGGACAGGGTCTCAGACTTATTGCAGACAGAGGGGAAAAATCAGAAATTATATGGAGGAAACCATGCCATTCTCCTTCTAACCATTCCAGAGCCAAAACAAGCCAAAAATATTCAATTAGATCTATATCTGCTCGAAACCTATATGAATATTAATGACAGTATGTTCTACGAAGAAATCAAATATTTAGTGAAACGGAGGAAAGAGTTTGAAGACGTTTACAAGCTTGTAACGTCCCAAAATTACAATTTTTTAGCAGCATTTTCATTACCATCACGCACCTTGTACAAATATGGCGTCAATCTCCGCGTGCTTCTCGGAGATCGAGGTTTACAAATAACAAATTTTTACAGATATCATTTCTTTGGAAAAACCATACAGTTGGACATTTGAGAATAAAATATTAGAAACACCATAAACATGAATAATTAATTGTAGAAATTTGAATTCAGTGCCGATAAAAATATCTTCGGTAATTTCCGTACTGGCGAAAGTAGAACATAATCTCGAATTAAGTCGATGCAAAAAGTTGAATAAATGTTTAATGAAAAGAAAACTTAAGCTATTAATTAATTATAGTGATAACAACTCACAAAGTACATGTTGATCTGTTGTCAAATTTGGAGTAAACGTCCTATTTGCGAAATAAATTATTAAAAACGATTTGGATTGGAGATGTAAACGAATAATGGCGGGAGACCCCCTGCATCGTGAGAGGAAAGTCATGACTTCGGTTTTATTTGCGGCTGCCAGCCATAGACCGCGATTGCTAGCTATTCGCCATCTTGTAAACGGTTGCAACAAGGACTTTAGTCTGGATGTCTCCAACATTTGGGCGTGGAAATTATCTGAAAAGGTACTGTTTGCTGTCCAGTTACCATTCACTGACCCCTCCATGGAATTTATTTCGTCTGCTGTTGCACCTTTTGAGGCACATCTCTTGCCCTAAAGTTTCTAAAACCAGTCGGGAAGAACGTGTTCTCATATTATTTCTCCCCGAACACCTGAAGTACTTATGAAACTAACGCTATGAATGTCAAAGTAATACGCTGGCTGATTCTAAGTCGCAGTGCGGTCAAACTAAATACTGTTAGGCCTAACAATGTTCCAGATTATTTTTTTATTTTCATGTATGAAAACAAATGCGATATTGTTTCAAATCACACAAATATTGAAGAAATAATCATGCAGATTTATAGGCCTGTAGCTTTGCTCTATTGTTTTATTCTGTTGACTGTATGGTAAGAAAAACACAGGAGATGCCTTGTAACATTTTGAAACAAAAATTATCACATCCTCATCCCTCCTTACAGACTTCTATCTATATGATTATGTTTACTTTAGGCTCCCCTGAAAATATTTTGATGCCTGAGCTAGATAGTATAGGACTTAGTACTAGTATACATTGTCAAAGCCTTTGATTTTGGGAATGAGCCTAAATTTTTCAGTTACAGGATTCTATGCCATGGCCGTGTTATATTATGTTATTTTGTTCAGGAAGCATTTTGGTTGAAATTAATTTAAACTTTGAAGGCTGTTTAATTTGAATTACAGAACCATGTAAAATGTCGGCAAATATTATTCTGGAACATGATTATGGGCAGAGGTTAGCAGAGCCAGCACATCTACAGAGGCTCGAGAAGTCTCTTCAGCTAGACCCATTGTTGAATTATGTTGAGAAGATAGTAACTGATCCTATAGCAGAAAGGTATTTTGAATTTAACAATAGTAGATGTATAAAACAGAAATATTTCCTTAAGTGTATGTAGGCAAACAGGAAGGCTTTTGATAGTTTTTTCCACTTCGTCAGGTTATTTTACATAAATATTATTGTATTTAAGGGACATTCCGCTTTTTTTTGTAGGTTGAAAAATTCCAATTTGTGAAATCTAGAGAAATGTGCCCTTTAACATATCTGAAAGTTTTAACTAAGTAAATCCAGCCGTTAATTTTTAAACGCCAAAGATACTTAAAAACAATATGTAAGGTTTTTAAGTTGGTTATGCTAATTGGAAGCTTTTAGAAAACTACTGTACGGATTTGAGTAAAATAAACGACTAATTGTAGGGAAATATGTCTCCTACATATTGTAAAGATTTCAACTAATATTACCGAGCCATTATAAAGCCCAACACCAAAACTAGATCAAACTGCTTAATTAACAATTAGAACTCTCTGTATCTAATTAACCCTTTTAAAACAAATTCAGTTTGATCAAGAAGATACATTAGCATACTTTAGAAATATTTTCAGGTATAATTCACGACGTTTTTGATAATGAAAACTTTTTACAAAAAAGCGGAATGCCCCTTTAATGATATAACATGAAAATTAATTTTTATGTGAATGCATATATTTACATATTCATTGATTGCAGTCTAACTTAATATATATTATTTTGTGCTGAAATATTTTAAGGCAATTTCAACAATTCAGTTTGAAATATTGACTTACACTCTCACAGTGTTATTGATGATCCTTATTCAAACCTGAGGAGGCTCCTTTGATAGTTGGAAATCAAAAAAATACTAGGTTAATGTCATTACACACTGAATGGTTCCCAATCCATATTGGCTCTATCAGGTGAAGAAAAGTAGGCTATTTTATTTTCATTTCATTCAAAACCAATAATGCTATATTTTAGTGATGTCACAGATACAGATGATAATGAGGACTATCTAAAACCTTGTATTAAATATGATGAAGAAAATAAGCTACTCAATGGAATCACAATCACTAAAGCTGGTAGGTAATTAAAATCTGGTTTGCCGAATTTTACATCAAGAAATCAAGTTTAATATTTAAAGAAATTCGAACCTTAAGAACACAAGTTATATGGATAATGGATATACTACTTCTAGTTTTATTACATACTACGTTTCGAAACACATACAGGTAACATTATCAAGTAAAATGATTCATTCAATGACCTTCCTGCTTCTATATGTCTTACAAAGATTAAATTCTAACCTGTAAATTATAATGATTGTAAATCAATGTTTTTTACTTTCAGAGAGAAAGGCTGATAAAACAAGGTTGTTTAATTTTGGAAAAGTCAAGAAAAGTCGCAGATGGCTTAGAGTAAGTTTTTATTATTATTACCACAGTCAGAATTAAAACCATCTATATCAGATGGCACACCATGAAACTCTGAGTAATAACACATTTCAGGTTCTGTTTTGATATTTCTTTACCGCCCTTATACTGATGATTTGAGCACTATTCTAGCAGTGACAATATTGTTATATTTCTAGAATATTTTACTGAGTGACAGTTCATCTGATGAAGATGAAGAACGACCAATTACTAATGAAGATTTACAGTTGATGATTAAAGTCCATAAATACAAGAAAAAACATCAGTTACATTTCTATCAAGATCCTGAGGTATGACATTATTTTATTGAAATCAGAACTAAAATAATATTTCTGATTTGAGGAAATACTGTAAAAAGGTATAAAAAAAAAATCTCAAAAATTGAATTTCAGTTGGGTCGCATTTCAGTGGTAGGCGATAATCCAGAATCACAGATATCCACCAACTTTTTACTGCAAACAGAATATTTACTTTGTAAAATTATCCTTTAATCCAATGATCCAGTTTGCGATTGTGGTTTGCAACTAATTAACAACCATGCCATGTTTCAACAAACCAGCAATTCAGAAATATGCAGATTAGGGGGTTTTATTATATACTCAAAGAATTATGGTTAATATATATATATACATAAGGTTTGATATATTGTAGCTACATCAGTATCAGTACTATAGTACTGGGTTACTATCGAACTATGATAAATATCCAGAACATAGTAAACAATTTGCTGGACCCAAGAAAAAGATCTCGAAAGAACAGAAGAAATTTGAAAAGAGAGTAAAAGGTAGGCTATATTTTTCTGATACAGTAGGCTTTAAGTTGTTGATGATAATTGGCTAGTGTTCTATTGAGTACTAGGTATTCAAGATAAAACACATTGATTAATATGACTACCTATATCTCAAGGGTGGTAACTCTTATTATAGACTTCATTTCTTAAGACCACAATACTAGCCTGTAAGAAAAAATGTGAGAAATAATGTTTTAAAACTTGATTCAATGGTGAACTGGATCGAACTATCATAAAAGACAATCCCTTCGTATATTTGTAGCTAAATTAAAGAAATTAAGGCGAGAAAAGAAATTTGAGAATGGTGATCATGAAGATTGTGATGAAATTGATCCTGAAGTTTTAAAAGCTATCATTGAACATCATCAGAAAGCTGGCAAGTCTGGTAAATCTAAAAAGTTGACACCAGAACAAGCTGATGTCAAGAGAAAGAAAATATGGATGTCAATTTGTAAAAAAGAAATTCCAAAGGTAAAAATTTATTAATGAAAAACTGAATGGTTAAGAGTCCTATCATTCAGATAAGATAAAAACAAGAACTTGAATTCAAAGTAGCTTGACAGTGTTAGATAGGGATGAGAACTTCTTCTCCTAAAAGCATTGGTCTATGTCGCAAAGTAAAGAATTATGATAAAACAAAGAGCAAGTTCAAAATTTAAGATAATTAGTTATGTTGATTATGATTGAATAATGTTTAAGTTATATCATCACTTTTGGTAAAATTTGAAAAAAAAAGTGATATCAAAATGAATTATTGCAAAAATGAGGAAAAAGATTTAAATGACAGAGTTCTTCATATCATGCAGGTGTCATGATGCCAAATTCCAATTCATTTCATTATAAAATTTAGATATCATTAAGTCAATTGTAACAAACAGTGTCTTTTGTTTTTAGATTCAAAAACAACGAGCATCAGCAAGAAAAGAGATGTTAAACAATGCAAAGAAGGTAATTATAGATAATATGATTAAATTTTCAAGAACAAGGGACTGGTAAACGGCTGTTTTTGTTAACACAATATAGTGTTTAATTGTCAATGATATTGAAGTTGAACTCCTCTATAATAAGTACTCGTTGGGAGAGTCCACATACCTTATATTATTTATTTGATATTTTTATTTTTTATGACATTTATATTAATAGCTAGCTACACAGTGTATGAAAGATTGTAGAAGAGCTGCTTTAAGCTCTCAGAAAACGTCAAAGGAAATTCCATCTCGAGCTAGAAGATTAACAAGAGAAATGCTGATCTATTGGAAACGATTTGATAAGGTGGAGAAAGAACATCGAAAAAGAGCTGAAAAGGAGGCCTTGGAACAACGAAAATTAGACATGGAGTTACGTGAGGTATGTAATGATAGAAGCCATAACTCTGAGCTCTTTCAAAATTTCCCTCATTGTAAACTTCAAAGCATTACGTGACTTCATTAGCCCATTAGGTGTAGAAAGTAGTACTTCAAGCTCATTTTCATTTCATTTATTATCTTTGACTCAGAACTTATGTTGGATATTATCATTGTAACTTTACAATATATCTGCACATAGGAAGGGCTCTCGATGTGGTTTTGGTTTGATAGTGTACTGCACAGTATAAGAATCCCCAATTATTTTACAAGCAATCTTGCTACATCTGATACAGCTTATTAGCTTAGATGATCCACTTTCTTTATCTTTTTCAGGCTAAAAGGCAGCAACGAAAATTAAACTTTTTGATCACACAGACAGAGTTATTTGCCCATTTTGTAGCTCGTAAAATAACAGGTGAATCGGAGGCTAATAAAGAGAGAATATTACATAAATTAGATGAAGATGAGGTGGAAGAGAGAAGTAATAAACAAATAAAAGGTGCAAGAGTCTATGATATAGAGGATGATGACTATGGTACGTCTTGAATTTTTCGTTTCTAGTGGGGGTCTGTTAAAACAATATGAATCATGATTTTTGTCGCTCTCAAGTACCTGTCGTAGAAAAATCAGCCCTTAAATCATGGGTTTTCAATCTGGGGGTAATTGTGACATCTTGGGGTGTAACGAGGCCGTATGTAGTCTAGCATAAAATTCCATCGTTCTATTCATGCTATATTCTCTGACATGAAAAAGTTTTACTGAATGGTAAAGGAGGTAATGCAATATATCAAGAATCTCAAATAGGGAAATAGAAAGATAAAGATTGAAAACCCCTGCCCTAACATGTCTGAAAATTGACAATCTACTTGCATTATATTGTACACAAAAAGATAACTTTTCGGGTATAATTGTCAAAGATTTGAATAGTGTCTTATAATGTAAGATAATGTGTAGTTGTTCAGATGAATTGGGAATCATATGTTTATAAGTTCTGTTTGATGTACTCTCTCACTGTTGTCATTGAAATTATATTTACAGATAGTGCTGAAATGAAGAAACTGGTTTGTAAAAATGCTGAAGGTGCCTATAAAGCACATCAACAAAAGGTTTGTCCATATTCTTAATCTATCCAGAGCAATAGGTATTCTTACATCGAAATCAACATGTCTCCTTATGGAAGTGTATTTTTTGATGTCTAATATTCCTTTATTTTTTTCATTTCAGAAAAATGATTTTGATAAATCTACAGGTTCATTGGCAGGTAAGTTGTATTTTATTGAACTAAATAAAAACTGCATGAGATGGTTACTGGTTTCAAGATGATTTATACCTGAAGTTTGCTTTTGTTAAACAAGTAAATGTTCATTGTTTTCAATTCGATTTTCTGAATAATCAACCGGCTAATACACAAATTAACTGATCTCTTTTCAGAATCAAGTTTTGCCAATCCAGCTATCAGTACTGATGCAGAACAGCCTCAACCCTCTATATTTATGGGTAAATTAAAAGGCTATCAATTAAAGGGAATGAACTGGCTAGCTAATCTATATAACCAGGGTATTAATGGTATATTAGCTGATGAAATGGGATTAGGAAAAACTGTTCAGTCTATAGCATTCTTAGCACATTTAGCAGAGGTAAGTTTATTCAGTATTTAATCATATTTTAATGGAACACCCCTAGTTTTACAAATGATCTAATCAGTTCATATTAGAATGAAGGTATGCATGTGCGGAAGAGTTCATTAAAATATAAAGGGAGGTCAAATAGAAGATTATCACAGCCTTGGATTCCCTGCTTTAGTTGAAATTCAAAATTTTGGAAGTGTTTTCAGTTTTATATTTTTCATATTTAATCTGAAAGGTTCTATTTGGTAGCAGAACGATTTAGTTTTATTTTATGGCTTCACTCATTCCGATTGTGAGAAGCTAGTACTGAACTTTGAACACAAAACTTGAATTTGATTAAATTTTCATTCACTTTTCCAGGCACAAGGAATCTGGGGTCCATTTCTCATCATAGCTCCAGCTTCTACTTTACACAACTGGCAGCAAGAATGTCAACGTTTTTCACCCAAATTTAAAGTTGTCCCATATTGGGGTAATGCACAAGATAGGAAAATTTTACGTAAATTTTGGGATCAGAAATGTTTACATACAGCTGAGGCATCATTCCATGTTGTTATTACGAGTTATCAGTTAGTAATACAAGATGTCAAGTATTTCCAGAGAATAAAATGGCAGTACATGGTACTTGATGAGGCTCAGGCTCTCAAAAGCAGTTCCAGGTGGGTAGTTTCAAAATTTTGTAGGTTTTGTCCAGGAAAGGTATCTTGATGTATGGAATTTCAGCAAGCTATCTAGATATGATTTCTTGGACAGTCTTTTTTTAAAAAACCTGTTTGAGGTATTTTTGTGGAATAAAAAAATTGTACATGTAATTAGAACTTTCCTAAGCAAACTGACTGTTCTCAACAAGCATAAGACTGTACCGTATTGATAGGTAAGGACATGTTTGGAGAAGTCAATTTAAGGTCAAGGAGTGTCAGGTTAATGACAAGCAAAATATCAAATATAGTAGCATTATGCTTACAGTATTAGAATTTTTGATTATATTTCAGTGTACGATGGAAGATATTGTTAGGATTTAACTGTAGAAATAGATTATTATTAACTGGTACCCCTATACAGAACAGTATGGCTGAGGTAGGCTATTGTTTTAATATTATATATCCTGACCATTAACTTGAATTTATTCCTGTATAGCTTATATATTGCTCAGACTTGAGACTTGGTAGATTTCTAATTGTCTTTTAAAAGCCATTAATAATTAAGAAAGAAAAAACCATTATGTACAGTTCTTTCTACCAGCTGGTCATTGTCCAAACATCTCCGCATTGATCTTTCCTATTTACAACTTGTTTGACTGGAATCATGAGGAAATATGACTTTTACAATGTCACCAGGATTTCACATCAGCCGAAGATCAAAACTCATCAATATAATAAACTGTTTTGTTTTCACAATTGTTGTTGTGTGTTTCAGTTATGGGCTTTATTACATTTTATAATGCCTACAATGTTTGATTCTCATGATGAATTTAATGAATGGTTCTCTAAAGATATAGAAAGTCATATAGAAAAACAATCTGGTATTGATGAAAGTAAGTGAAAATTTAGATTTAATTGTTTTTAAAGCTGTCCTTGCTATAATGGCATTTAATAATTTTCTATAGTAAGCACACGTTATTAATAACAGTTCCTGCTTTATTTAACAATGTGATGTTTCGTCGATGGTTCTCCAAAATCTTGCAGTGCTAAATAAAAGTTATTATCCATAAAGTGTGTTGTGTTTATCTTTGTATTTGTTGCTAGTTCCTTGTCTAAATTCTTTTGATATATTTTCAGATCAATTATCAAGATTACATATGATATTAAAACCATTTATGTTAAGAAGAGTAAAGAAAGATGTTGAAAATGAACTGTCTGATAAGGTATGTTGAAGGGTGATGCCCTGCCCTGCTGGTCATAAAAATGTGAACTTCGTTTCGATTATGCGACTGTTTGAGCTAATGAAGACAAGCAAAGCCTGTATTGGCAAATTGCCCCACGTTAGTCTTTCTGACTTGCATGATTTGATTAAATAAAAATAGGGGCAAATCTTGATAAATCCCATAATGGAACCCTGAATCTTCAGGTTAGTGAGCAGGTGTCATAACTCAATCCAGCCAAACAGGCTCCGAAATTCTGGACAAACTAATCTTTTGATTAATGTTACATAACAGTCTAAGAAAGCAACATACCTGAACATAAAGCATTAAGCAGCAAACGTAACTTAACAATATTTTGGTTTATTTCAGATTGAGATCTTGGTATATTGTCCACTGACTAGACGACAGAAGATGTTGTATCAGGGTATAAAAAATAAGATCTCTATAGAAGATTTATTACATACAGCTATGGAGAATACACAGGCTCAATCTACAACTAGTAGCCTTATGAATCTAGTTATGCAATTTAGAAAGGTACGTTATTAGTGTTTCAAATGAATGTCTTTATAGTAGGGCTAAAGTTTTTGATTATCAGTTCACCTGATGGTGACAATGAAATTCGTTGAAAGATCGTGTACAAAACTTGGGAGTAGTATACCATATAATAATCAATAATTCTTAAGGGACATTTAAGTGTCGCTACAATAACTTATAACAATCATGTTTGGATTTTAAGGATGGTCTTCAAAAATAACCTCTCACTGGGTGGTGGATTTAGCACAACTCTAAAATACAAATGATTTTCAGAAAAAATCAGCAATCTTTGAACTATACCATTATAAGGGATCCATTTTGGGTAATTATGAGAATGTCTTGTCCCACAAAAAAATTTGATGAAGCTGAGTGTTCACCTTTGGACCATTAAAATATTATTGTTAATATCCTTGACCACTTGTCTGTCACTAACTTCTTTCTCTTCTAGGTGTGTAATCATCCAGATCTATTTGAGAGACATGAACCTAAATCACCTTTCTTTATGAAACTAGAACCATATTATATTCCTAAACATATATATCGCTGTGGTAAGTACAACTTCTTTTCAAGGGACACAACTCTAATGGAATAAAAGAGAGTAAAATTTCAAATTCAAATTTAGTGGATGTCAATTATGACTGGAAAACCTATGGTAAAACTTGAATTTCCCAAAATACAATGATAGGCACTGAACAATGATAGGCACCCACAGTTTTGCAAGTCCTTTTTTACAGGATAAAAACTGAGCATTATATACACAAATATACTGTATAGAAATTGTCCTGCAGGTTAACTGATTGATTACTGTCTATTTCAGGTATATTAGAGAAAGCTCTACCAAGTAAAGCTAAGATTATTTATAATTTATTGTATATACATTCACCTCATCATATTCATTCTACATTACAACCACTGACTAGTAAGTTACTCTTATATTCAAAATGTTACACTAACTCAAACTCAATGATCAGACTAAATTAATACATGGATATATATCTCATCAAAGTGATTGTATCCTCCTGCCAAGAGACTTTTTTTCCAGTGTAAAATTCAATTTCTTGAATAAATGTTATTTGTGCTGAAGAAGGCTGATGTTTTTTTATCTAAAGGAAAAGGATTTGAATTTTTCTTGGTAAAAGATCTTTTGAATGAACTTTGTGATGTTTATAAACAATATAGCTGTTTAATTATTTCAATTCTAAAAGGTTAAAGCCAAATGTTGCTAATTTTTTGATAGTTAAGAATTGTTTAAATCTTTCTGATCTTAGCATAATTACGTAAGGTATACCCTGTTCATCTGAGAGATATTTATTATATTTCAGATGGTCGTGTAAATAGTGCTTTTTCTTTCCTACGTTTTATTGGTATGTCACCTAGTGATCTGTATAGTTATATGTTCGGTGGCTTATTAGTAAGGTAAGAGCACAAAATATTGAAATATTGTTGTGGGGGTAAAAGTTAACTTTTTGATCAGAATATATGGCTCAGTGAGTTAAATACTTGCTCATGTTTGGTAATAGTTTTCGATTTTTCAGCCCTGTTGCACTGTCAGTGATGCAGGTCAGCGAATTATCATAGGAAAAGTGTTAAGTCGTTCGGATGGGACAACAAACTGAGGTGCTGTGTGCTATAGGCGCATGATAAAGATACTTAGAAAGTTGAAAATCCAAAATTAAAGAAATTAAAACGGAAGACATGAAACTCTTATTTGATTTCATGTTTAATTATATTATAGATGGTTAGGTATATTTCTTTGGTTAAAGATGGCGTATCGGATACATCATCAACATCAATGGAGACAAGAAACTCAAATGTAAGTAAAATGATCATGTTTTTATTTTTGGTTGACATTGAATATGGCCACAATATGATTCTTATAAATTAAACTGGCATTTAGAGAAGGGAATCAATCTAATTATGCCTTTCATTTTGGACTTAAAGATTCTAGAATGTAACACTTTGAGACCAAACTTACAACAAAAGAAGATGCTTTCCTCTTTTGAATACAATGTAAATCCAAACAACTGCATTGGTCTTGTAAGTGGCATTTAGTGATTGAGGTATGAATATATGAACACAATTTTATGGATAATTGTGTTCATATATGTATGGTCTCATCGATGGATTTGTTAGTAATGTATTGGAAACATATTTATAGGAATTAGAAATGAACAGAACTCAATAATTTACATTTTTCTTTCAGCCCTAGTACCAATAAGTGCTTTCTATTAAATCCCCTACAAACAACTTATTTCCCTAATGTCAGGGAAAGTAAAAACTTGCAAAATTTTGTGTTCATTAATCCGTGTTCAGCGTTCAGATCTCATGAAGACCACACAATCCACTATATACCAGAAACACTGGCTCATAGACAAGTCCGATTAAAGAATCTTCGGAATCAGTTATTAGCCAGTAGACCCGTTATGAGCCCACCGAAATCTCCAGTCAAGGTGAGTAACTCAGTTTATCTAGAAATATGATATTACCTTACACCTAAAGGTTATTGAATTTGGTTAATTGGAATCATTGGAAGAGATTCATAGATGATTTCTAGTCATACTCAAAGCGGTTTGAGTTATTTTGAATTTAAAGTTTGTCCAAGCTGTAGGTAATATAGTTGTCAAATAAAATTAAGCCCTGTACATACAAATAAGTTAAAGCTTTATTAACACATTAAATTAGAAGTATGTGCTGATTTATTTGGTTTAAATATCATTTTTAAAAGCAGATATATAACTGAATAGTTAGTTCAAAATCTGACCATTTTGAGAAAAATTAAAAGCAAAAAGTCTATAAAACAATGGTTTCTTTATGTAATAAACACGGATGATTTCACCACGTTTTTCTCTTATATAGCAACCGTTTCTTTCAAAAGTAATTTGATTGTATTTTAGAGTCATTCTCCGAAGAAGGGAGGTCATCACAGTAGTAATACAATATCAGCTGAAGATATATCACTACCACTTCACCATCATAGATTACGACCTGAACGTATTTTTACCTCTCAACCTACAGATTATCCTGCTTTTCTCTTTAACTCTATACCTAAGGTAAAATTATTTAGTTCATTCAAGTAAATACATATCGGCAACTCTTGACAGTTTCTGTAAATCTGAATCTTATTCTGTAATGAATTGAACAAATTCTTTAGTCTTCTATTAGAACCTCTTCTGGCATATTTCCATTGTATCATTGGAAGGAATCCTTGTGTCTTCTGGGCAATGTCTCTTTTATGCGGCATTTTACTACTGGTTTGTCACCTAATAGCACCATGTAGCAACATGGATACAGTCCATAATTTCTGAGATGATTTAGACTTTTGTTTATGCATTTCAATGCTATTTTAAGTACATGAGGTTTGAAGTATGGCTAGCTTATAAATCTTATTTTCCATTAACTCTACCATGGATCACAAATAATGGCTATTATTTTTGGAGACATTCACAGATGTATAACAAAGTGGATTAATAAAACCGAAGAAACAAAGATAATGCTGATCATTGGCTAATACGTTTGTCAGTGTTTAAAAATTCGATATATTATTGTAGGTTCAAGCAGGATCTTTAAGTAGATGGACTGAAGATCGCAGTGCAGCCTGGGAGATCGTTAAAGAAAGTCTATGTGGAACAGTAGAAGGTAGAAATAGTCTATTGTATGGTACACCAGAGATACGGGAACTAGTTCGATGGAAGGGTTATTATTTTACACCGCTTGAAATAGGTGGTCTATATAGTATACATCTTAAACATGGCTGGTCAGATATCTATATACCAGGTTTGTATGAGATATTTTAATTGCGTTGTTTTGTTTCTTTTGAAGGGACATGAGTGGTCTTAATATTGGCTTTACTGGTTGATTGAGCTCAATTTCAGCTTTCCTTGGCAGTTTGCAGAATTAAAATTAGATGTTCCATTTCTCTTATACTTCAAAAGACAATAAAAAAAGAGAGCCATGACTTAAGATGGTTAAGATCACTGTCATATAGATACAGTTGAGCTGTATCAGCTGGTAGAGCAAATATCTAGACAACTACATAGTTAGTTGAAATAGGGCTCTATCACCCAAACAGTAAAAATTTAGATGGCTATACAGATAGCTGAGCTCCATCAGCTGAAATCCTTACTAGTGTTTGTTTCAGTAACTTGTACAGATGTTCCTTCTATAGTTGATTCTTGGTCATTTGATTGAAACAATCCAGATGTTGAGTGTGGTTTAACTATAATCTAGATTTACCATAATTACATCTTGGTAGAGTAATCTACTACTAGAATCTATAATCTAGATTACTGTTTGTTATAATCTAGCTAGCATTCAAGTTGTACAGTATTAAGTAATAGTTACACGAAGTTTGCTTCATAACTTATTTAAAATCTAACTACCGAACACTGTCGGACAAAATGTCACGTGATTCGGAAATTCTTAATGTATAAGTATCTAAGTAAAATTATTTAGCAAATGCCCATTAGATGAAAAAGGAGGTTAGGTTCTAATTCTGATTTCATAGCCATGGTTTCCTGGTCTATTATTATAAACACAATTAAATCAAATCCAGAATTTAAGAAATTCAGTAATCCGATTAAATACTAAAACTACAAAAAACAATTTGAATGAATGATCCAACAGATGACTGGAACACCAAGAACACACCAAAGCTTTCAAGAGTAAGGTCCCAGGACCACACTTAGTCATCTGTCTAATTTTGTGTGTTAAATCTTTGTCATGCAATATAGAATCGAAAGCAATTTTCTTAAAGGGTCAATTAAAGGAATTATCATTGTTATTATTATGTTATAGATAAAGAAAGTTTAGTGACTGATGCTGGGAAGTTGTTTGTATTAGATTCACTGTTACAGAGATTAAAATCTGAAGGTCATAGAGTATTGATCTATTCTCAGATGACTAGAATGATAGATTTATTAGAGGTAAGCTTATTTTATATTTAGTGAGAACTGCGACAGTTCAGTTAGCCAGTAAATTTCTGTCCTACCTGTGTTTGTCTTGACTCTGATGTTGGTTAGAGATGCTGACATCTGAAGACAAAACAAAGAAATCCTAGACACATTAATGTCTAGGAAGAAGATAGTAAAACTCTTTGTATTTTTTTTTTACTCTTGCAACTTTTTTGTGACAAAATAAGGTTTACTGCTTGTTTATTTCTAACCAGAGTTAGACATTATGACTTAGTCTTAGAAATAAACTATCCCTAGAATACATTCCAATCAAATCACTGTATTTACAAACCTGTGATACACGACACATGGCTATTGCAGACAAGGTATTAGACGAAGTTCGTAATAGCTTGTTTTGTGAAGATGAAATTTTACATCTAATGTAACCATAAAAGTTTATATAGACTCCCTTTAAAGATCAAAGATTATGTAATGTTTAAATGTTTTGAAATAGAAAGACATAAAATTACTGTAAATGTGCATCAAATTAAGTCAAATTACAGTAAATAGACAAACACAGAAAGATATTTATTAACAGATGTTTTAAACATGTTTTGTTTTATCAAATTGAGATAGCATGGTCGTAATTTAATACAATATATATCCTTTAAAAACTGCATTTAATTTCAAGAAAGACAGGCTTGATATTTGAAATTGTATGTTTTAATTAGGACTAATGAATTACATCTGTCTTTTATGTAACTGATATGAAAACAGAAGTCTTGGGCTAATGGAATTTTAAATTATTTTAAACAATGCATTTCACTCAAAATGAAGCTATAAGTTTTTTGCGCTGTATCCCATCTTCACAATGTCAAGGCATATAAACTCCTCCTAATACCATGACACATTATGAACCTTTCTTGTATGACAGAAATTTGTGAAAACATGTTAAGAAATGAATGTGGCTCTTGTTTTAGTCTTTCAATTGATACAAAATATAATGTTAAAAGAGGCCTAAACTGACACAGGGAATAGGTTCACTCTCAAAATCACTGGCCTATGAATTCCCTCTTCTTTATGAATAATCTTCCTTAAGTGGCATTTCATAATTGGATAATAAATAACTCGACACAATTTTATGCGAGCGTCGAAACGTCGCAAGTTATTTATTAAAGTAATTGTTATCCATAAAATTGTGTCCAGTTATGAATAGGCTTATACTAAAAATATAACAGGTATAGTATATATAATGTATTGTTGTGTATATTGTAGGAATATATGTGGCATAGAAAACACAGCTATATGAGGTTAGATGGATCATCTAAGATATCAGAAAGACGTGATATGGTGGCTGATTTCCAAACAAAATCTGATATCTTTGTATTTTTATTGAGTACTAGAGCTGGTGGGCTTGGTATAAATCTTACAGCAGCTGATACTGTAAGTTAGAATTTACTTTTTTCGGTCAAAAAATATCAGTGTAAGAGTCTTAACACTTAACCTTTCTTGGGCCATATCTCCCATATATAAGTAGCTTTTATCTCCCTTTATATAAGTATGTCTCATATTTTAGGCTTACCAGTAAATTGGTAGCAATTCTTTGACTGTTATTGTTTATAATCTGCAATATCAGCTTTTGCTGGAAGCTAACATTAATTTGTTATCTACCACAAAACCTGTTATTGTTTATAATATTGTTATTTGTAGGTGATATTTTATAATATTGTTATTTGTAGGTGATATATTATAATATTGTTATTTGTAGGTGATATTTTATAATATTGTTATTTGTAGGTGATATTTTATAATATTGTTATTTGTAGGTGATATTTTATAATATTGTTATTTGTAGGTGATATTTTATAATATTGTTATTTGTAGGTGATATTTTATGACAGTGATTGGAATCCTACTGTAGATCAACAAGCTATGGATAGAGCACATCGTTTAGGTCAAACTAAACAAGTTACTGTTTATAGACTGATATGTAAAGGCACTATAGAAGAGAGAATTGTACAGAGAGCTAAAGAAAAGAGTGAGGTATGAATATTTGATACCTTTTAACATTTAAAATTTCAGGTCTGTTTTGAGCATTAAGAGTTGAGGGGGCTCAGCAATATAAAGGTTTGCTCACTAACCTAATTGTCCTTGGTTCAATCCCCTCGTCATATATTATTCCATGTGGTTTAGACCTCTGTCGGTGAAGCAGGTTGAAGATGCTGGCATTGAAAAAAGTTCATGCGATGGCAGAAAATAATAGGTACTGCCAATTTGACAATTGAAATGGTGCAAATCATTGCTGTCAGTTTCCTTGATTCACTTAAATTTTATTGTTAAAGTTTTTTAAATTTTACGGGTAAATATTATATAATTACAGATACAAAGAATGGTAATATCTGGTGGTAACTTTAAACCAGAAACATTAAAACCTAAAGAAGTTGTTTCTCTACTTATTGATGATGATGAAATGGAACATAAATGTAAATATTTATTTTGATATAACAAATATATTATGTAACTGAGGCTTGTTGATTGGATCTTGTCCAAGGACGTTTGGTTCCCTTATATAACATTATTCGAAATATAGAATAACTACTAATGATCCAAACCACATTACAAACATCCAAAAGAACAGTTTGGCTTTGAACTATTCATATGAGGAAGTATATCAATGGTAAATGATAAGTGGTATAGTCTTGTGGTTTCGTTGCAGTGCCTGTATTCTGATGGTAACTTGCAATACTGATGCCAATGAAAGAGCTTGATAAGAGCTAGCATGAAAGAAAGTAGATAGAATTAATACATATGAGTGTTTCAAGTGTCTTGTCATTAACTTGAAAGAGTTTGAAGTATTTTATTTCATATTCTCTTGATTTATTTTTCAGTAAAAGTTCGGCAAACAGAGAAGAAAGTAAAAAGAACATACACATTTAAAGATGAGCGAAAGAGGAAAAGACAGGTAAATTTCTGAAAAGACTGTGCTGGCATTGAGACATTTTCTACAAAATATCTTTAAATTGATAATAATGATCTGTTGAGGACTGAGTTAATCCAGGCTGTCAACTTATTTCTAAAGGGAGATAACTCTTAATACAGACTTCTTAAGACCACAATCTTACAATAAACATTCAAATCATTCAAGATTAAATTGAGCAATACATAAAAATACTGTGTAGAAGCTAGTTAGGAGGAGAATAAATGTATTGACACACAGCAAAAATAACACACTCAAAAAATATACTGAAAGTGCTATTGTGTATTATATTTTGTAGAAGAAAGATAGTAAGAAGGGTAAAGTAGAAGAAAATAATATAACAGTACCAGCAACACTCTCAGTAGACAATGATATCAGTGTAGATTCTATCTCCATACCAGCTAGTCCACAAAGTGGGGTAGGTGTTCTTTTATAGCTTTATACTTGATCTATGTTTTATAGCTTCCCCTACCTGATAAATTATTTACATTAACAGTGCTCAAATTAGTGAGAAACTTGCTGTAATATTGTGAATCAAATAGAAATGGTGTCACCATTATACAAGAATAGATTTTAAGTATCCTGAACTATATAGCTCTTTGGAATATAGTATTAGCTTCAGGTCTAGGCATATTTCAGATTAACGCCAACAAAATGGATCTTGTAGAAGTACTATAGTAGAATTCTATTGTTGAGTTGTTTAAAAAGAAGATTTTAGCCTTGTAAGAATAATTTTTATAAGAGTTATATTCATATGCCATCAAATGAAAAATCATAAAAGGGAAAGTGTATACTAATTGTTGTATATATTGATAGTTTTCAGTAGGTAGTGAGTTACCAGGTTGTAGTTTATCAGCTGCTATACAAGATGACAGTAGTAATGATGGTGGACTGGTGATAGTTGATGATGCTCATACCACCTACTCCCCAGGTATTATTAATAGTAACACCTTTCTTTGTGGTTTACCTTACTGCACACGTCATAGTTTTGTTTGTCTGTGACGCTCAAAATTGTGGTTTCATCCCATTGCACATTTAATTGTCTGTGGTGTTCAAAAATGGACTCTTTCTCAAGTTACAAATGTCTTTAAAATGCTTATTTTACACATCCTCAGACCTTCTGTAATCGGAATCTCAAACCCTGCGGTTGTACCCCCTTTAAGTGAATCTGTCCCCTATTTGTATTCCTTTTCCAGGAGATTGGTACTGACACTGTTTAATTGTTTGTTTATTTATGTTAACTTGTCATCTTTTCAGTTTCAACACCAACACCTACCCCTAAAAAAGGTCGAGGAAGAGGCCGACCTAAAGGATCAAGTATTGGTAGGAAACCTAAGGGTCGAGGTGGGAAGAAGGCCATGTCAGCAGCAGAGATAGCTGGTGCTCAAGCTGGCTTAACAGCAGCCTATGCAGCTTATGGATATAATATCAGTGCATCAGGTAATATTCAATTTCATGTTTACAAATTGTTATATTTTATGGATCACTAACATATTGGTTTGTGGAGTCAGTTGATGACATTCTATAAAAGATTATGAAATACTGTCTTAGTTTACTATAATTGACAGATTGTACCACTTAGTAGAGTATATTTAGATATGTTTAAATAATAGAGGTAATGAAGAGTGAATTTAAGGCAAATATGAAAAATTTGAAAATCAGACTGTTGATTAATTCCATGAAAAAAAGATTTCTCCCTGTATATCTAATATTGACTTGGCAACATTACAGTGACATAATTAAAATATATTGTTAATCACCATTAGAAAGAATTTAGTCACAATTTCTGTTTTCATGGAACTCATTCTCTCCATCTTTAAGGAGTTGATATTTTGGTAGTACTCTATATGCCTTTTTAGCATATATGAATTATTTTCCCTAAATCATTTCAGATTCCAAAAATTCTCCAAGAACGTCTGGTTCGTTGCCACCATCAGGTAGAAGTACACCAACAGTTTAGCAGGAAAAATCCCATACTCATAAACCCAAAATAGTGCAGAAATTAATTGCAAGTGGAACAACATTACAGCTGTGTCAGATAATGACATTTTTTTTGTGATAGGACAATACTTCTGTCACTTTTTACTCGACAGATAATTGTGCATGTAGATCAAGTTAAGAGTTGACATAAATTACAGGTTTTCAATCTAGGATATGATGAATTTCGTCAATACCTGGTACCATATATAAAAGGTTTTTTTCAATTTTCTATTGATTTTGATAATCCCATGCTGGTGTATATAGAAAAGACAGTGCGAATTGGTGATAAGGAGTTGATTATGTTATGAGGGTAGAAATCTTGATGTGATGTGATGTGATGTGATGTGATGTGATGTGATGTGATGTGATGTGATGTGATGTGATGTGTTGTGTAGAGAAGAAGGAAATGATACTGAAGTAACATTGCATGTAAAGCCCAGTCTTCTGTTGTACATACTACAAAGTTGTGACAAATTTAACGAACAAATAAATAAAACATAAGATTAAATGAATAGTCTATACTGTTTTATCAAAAAGTAAATCCATTTATCCTTGGTTTTTTTTACTTCGAGAGGTTTTTTATTTTTTGTGTTTTTCAAATGCATCACTTGCCTATGAGTACTAATTGCAATGCCTTTTTTTGTTATTATTGATAATCCATTCTCAGTGGCCAAGTAGGGGTGGGGGGAATAACTGAGGTTGCCCTAATTTCTAACCTAGTTATGAGATTTTTGCCTGAAAAACTTGTTTTCAAGGCTGCCCCAACTTTGGGTCCGCTACTCTCCATTTATATTAGCTGATGTAAGACAAGACTTTTTAGCCATTTTACAGAAGTAAGCCTTAAATGTTTAGCAATTGGATTTTCACTTAAAGCAGGTAGGACATCAAATTTCATTCTGATCTCAGGGTGTAAACTAATAATTTGACTGACCTTTGTATCCCTTTTAAAGATACAAAAGTATAACTGTATGTTTTAATTGTTCATTTAAAGGAATGGTAAAGAGGTGACAATTTATGTATTCGTGGAATTGCAGAAACCACAAATGTTTGATCGAAATTGAAACGGTGCAAATTATGCTATTAGTCTCCCCAATGCATATAAAAAGTTTAGAAACCTACTTTACAATCCCTTAAACAATGGTTTAAAATAAGGTTTTGTACAAAAGGCATGTATATTGACAATTGTTTCTATTTTGTTGAAGTTCTATAAGTTTGTATAATGTAAACATGTCTGTATATTTTAATACTGTACAAATTGTATATATTGTTACTGTAAAATATGTATTATACAAGCTGCTATATAAAATAGTATATATAGTAACATTCACTCATCTCTAAAAATTTGTTATTCAAGTTAAAAGTAATGTCAGGACAGTTCTATATTATTTCAACAAGTTGGCCTTGTTTTCAGTTTAATTTGGAAAAAAGGGTGCTTATAGACTAGCTAGGATGTCCGGCGAGGTGTATGGTGTATAATCATTGATACAGTAGAAAATAGAAGAAGCAAATGCAGAAGGTACTGGTCCCAATACAGATGGTTTGTTCTATTAGCTACTGTATAGATAATACAACACCAGACACCATACTTATTATATTGGTAAATTTTAGAATTAACATTTTTATATAGGCTACCATTATAATCATAGCATTTGATATGGTTGAGTCAGTATTACATACTTTGTAATCATTCATTGTACACAGTACTATAAATATTTTTAGATCCTGAAACAACTGGAAATATTAAAGAAAAATAATTTGAAGAACAATAAACGAGAGACCCCAAAAAATAACAAATTTAAATGCAAAACCCGTTTGGGTGACCTTGCTAATCTTGTAAGGAACAGAGCTTGAAGAACAATAAATGAACAACCCCAAAACAATTTACATTTTGAATGAAAATAACTGTTTGGGTGACCTTGCCAATCTTGTATGAACAGAACTGTACAGCTAAAGAAACTGTTTAATCCCCATTATAAGCTGAAAACAAGCATAACTTGCCATTAATAATATAGAATTAACCGAGACCTGATATTAACTGGTTTATATTGTAGTTATTAACATGGTATATTGTCTAATCATGTGCTAAATCAAATTATAAAAAATAAAATACGAACAATTTAAATATGTTATTGATCTTTACTTTGTCATGTCAAATATTTACACAGTTTGAAATGAAATGTTACATACTGCTTTCATTTTTCCACCATATTTGGTCTTATGAACGCTTTCAACATTATACAGTGGACAATGGGGAAACTTATCAGAACGGTTGCCAACCATAACTCGCTGGTTCTTTAACGTCGGTTTCATACCGACATAGTAAATCACATGACACAGCTCCTCGTCTGTTACTACTCTCCAAAACCAATTCATTATGCATAATATGCCACTTAAATGCGTCATACAACTCCGATTTATATTTGCTAGGATCCCGAAGATGACGAAAGTCGAAACGGTGCTTTAAAGTTTTACCAGTGATAAGTTACTATTCAACACAAGATTCTTGTGATAAAGATAAGAGTGAAACGTCTGCTACTTTTATAATCAAGTTCTATTTTTTATGAAACATTTAAGAGAATTACTTAAAATACCGGATCGCCACTTTAACTTTGCCTACTGGAACCCATTTGTCAGATTTTTTTTATAAGTTTGGCTCCATAATAACTCAGAAAGTTAATGAAAGAGGGAGGCAAGATGACATTCAAGTCGTGTGCCATATGGTATCTTCAAACTCGAAAACCGTGGGAAAATTTACATCCACGCGAACGAAAATTCCAAACATGCACAGCTCGTGTGTGTAAAAATGTTAAAAATAGATATGGAGGTATTTCTATGTCATTTGAAATGTTTGTTAGTGTATTTTTAACGTCTCTGGCGAATTAAACTGGTTTACGTCTATTGAAATCATAAACAAACCGTTTTTAATCGCATCTGTTTAAGTCTTTAACTTAGATCTAGGCGTGTGTATGTGTGATGACTTTTATACTTGTGTCGAACTGTAGAATTACGCAACGAAATCTGCATACAGGGAAGAAATAATTGCAAACAACACACTCAAACACAAACAAAGGCCCACAAATATTCTGATAATTAAAGCAAAAGATGAACCGTGGACTTGCCGAAAGCGCCCAGGACTGCATGCTATTGATATGCTTGATGAGGACTCTCCGGAAAGGTTGTGGAATTTCAAATATTTTGAAAAGACAAGCACAGAGAATCACAACGGTCCCCTGAATAAGGAAATCCGCTGGATGGATACGATAGCTTCAGTCGTGATGAAGAAACATCTGGTCTCTCAAAAATCATCTCTCAGAACCAAAGGCTACTTACATTCATAGATAGATATATTACACAGCATTTTTGTCAGATGTCAATACAAAACGACAATCTACGGACCCAACCGAGTATTTTGACTGTCGTTGTCGGGTTGAAGTACATCTATGATGACTTATGAACGTGTCAAATTATGAAAATTAAAAAATTAACGTGTTCACTCATCATAAATTAATTTTACGATCGTAAAACATAATTTTTGGATCATAAATCAAAAATGAAATAACACAAGTCTTAATTTTGAACACGTCAGTCATCGAAGAATGATTTTTAAAATCGTAAAAGCACCATTGCAGGAAATTTGAAACCTTCTCTTTAAAAATTGTCTGTCGTGTGCCGATTTATGTGGGTTGACCCCCGCCGTAAGGGTTAAGTAGAAGAAATTAAACAGACAGCTGAAATGTTTCAATTTTATTTACGAGTTTTTAAAATTTAATTTTTTTTTTTAATTTTGGGTCTTAAAAATGAACTACAAGGCTTTTTCAAGAAAATAAGTACATCGACGATAAGCATTACAAATGCTGATCAAAGGCGGAAAAGCAAAAAAAAGAAAAGAAAAAAAATAATAATAATAACACCCGCTCTCAGAAGGGTTTGAGCATAGAATCGAAATTCCAGAAAACTTGTCATGACAACTAAATGGCTTTTTATAACAAAATATTCTACATATTTCAGTCGACTTCTGCCCTCCTGAACCTAACAATGGAACATCTGTAGAGAAAGAAAGTAAATTTATTCTTTGACATTATTATTTCAAACATTTTGACATTTCACATATGTCAAATGCAATTTAAGAGTCATATTTACTAAATTTCTAAGATGGCCAAGGTCACCAAAATATTGCCTATACAATAATGCTGACATTCCAGATCTGAAATAAAGTTAGTTAATATTCGTAGACACAGGGTTACAGAGCTATGGACCGATGAAGTAATGCAGAGATAGAGTAATCATGTTGCTTATAAACAATAAATGCTACCGGTGCTAAAGGAATATGGGCAGATGCAATGGGCAGATGGAGAAACGATATTAATGAAAAATGTTACAAATGAAAGATGTCAACATAAAACCAAATTACCCCCCCCCAAAAAAAAGCATCGCCGGTGTACTGAAGATCTCTGAAGTATGTACCATGTGACTTGACCACATCTTTAATCAAAACCAAAAGTGTTCAGAAGCGTCCCCAATTTCAGACAAAATGGTGCAAGTAAAAAGTTTCCCACGCTCTCGATGTAACAACTGGTAATAATAAAATGTATAATATTACAAAATAACTGATTTTTTCTGCCGCTACTCATCAAACACGACATAATGAAGATATCAGATGCTGGCACACGAGCCTGATGGTCGGTATAAACGAGCCAGTTCGGCACACACGAGTCTAAAGCTAGGTAAACACGAGTCTAATGGTCGGTACATACGAGTATAATGTTCGGTACACAGGAACATAAAGTTCAGTAAACACGAGTATAAAGTTCGGTAGACTATCTAAATATACACGACGAGATAGTAGATTTGATATGTTGATGCCATAGTAAGTTGTTATTGTATTCCGAAATCATAGCTATAGAGTTGTTATTGAATTCTTAAAGCATAGCTATAACGTTGTTATTGTATTCCGAGAGCATAGCTATAGAGTTGGTATTGTTATTGTATTCCGAGAGCATAGCTATAGAGTTGGTATTGTACTCCGAGAGCATAGCTATAAGGTTGTTATTGTATTCCGAGAGCATAGCTATAACATTGTTATTGTATTCCGAGAGCATAGCTATACAGCTGTTAATGTGCTCTGAAAGTATAGCTATGGAGATTTTTATCATACACCGAGAGCATAGATATATTGTTGTTATTGTATTCTGGAAGCATAGCGATGTCGTTGTTATTGTACTCCGAGAGCATAGCACTAAAGTTGTTATTGTAGCCTACTCCGAGAGCATAGCCTGTTATTGTTATTGCCCCTTTTCTGCGCTCAATCCATAGTTATGATGTATGTATTTTTGTTATGCCCTTATACCATAATGATAGAAGAATGCGACCAGATTTATAGCGTTTTGCGCCCAAACCATAGTTATAGACATGTGCGCTCGGGGTTATTGTGTAAAACATCAACATCCATTATTACGAGACACAACAAAGATGTTTTACTTCCTTCAACCAGTTCACCAGACATCAGACACCCTTCCTGATGGTGGTAACTATACGTTCTGTTTAATTTGTGTACATATCTTACTTTTAGTGCAAGTTTTCCATCTGTTTCTGTTTATATTACGTATTGAACAGACTCGCGCCATTGGTTGACTCAAGAAGTTTACTAAAGATCAAAGACGCGAATATCCCGGTCGTTCTTGTAAAAGGTTTTGACACCATTAGCATATGCATGTTCCCTTAACAACATTTATGATAAATAATCCTTAAGCGGCATTTGGGGGTAGCGAATATGCACAAATACCATACAACTCATCCATTCTGTTAAATTAAGCAATATAAGGGGGAAAAGTTATATCATTATGTTATTGTGGTATAATTGTTACAAATTCTCTGGTGGGAGCTACATCATATCCGGTTTACTCACAGGCATTCGGCGAAGAATTGGAATCTCCCAAATAGAAGTCAAAGGTGTCCCCGATATACACATAAAAAGGCTAGAAAACCTCTTTACAATCTCTTAAATCGCAATTCACGAATGCTCCTAAGCTTTTAAACTTGTAATTCACTTTCTATCCATCCCTTAACTGTGCATGGTTCAGTATGTGGTAATGTTTTGATCGTAAATATTGTTCATAATAATATATAATATATCAATATGTTAAGTCAATATTTACGTCGGAAACGGCGTATTGCGTCGCCTTTATTTACCAACGGTTAGGTCTATCAATAAACTGTTGTTTCATATTTTCAGGTTTGTTCACTTATATGCACTGAACAAATAAAATCTCACAGTTAAAGGGACTGTAGGAGGAATTTTAAACTGATTGCACCAATTTGCACCATTCCAATTTTTCAATCAAACATCTTTGGTTCTATTAATTAATCATTAATATTTGATATTTGATATTTGTGCTTGATAAAGACTCCTGTATGTGAATTGAAACGTTGCAAAAATTAAAGAAAGGAGTAGTATATCTTTAATAGTGTTCTTATTTATTTAATACATATGAAATGTTTAGAAACTTTCCACAAGCCCTTTAATACCCAATTTGTAACGTATATTTCTCAAGGATGTCAATGGCATACTAATACCAAAACAACTACCGGTACTAAACTATGTAGGGTATTATAAAAGGGTATAAGTTTGAATATTTCCGTCTCCCAACCTTTTTCTAAAAACGTCACGCTTAGAATCCGTTTTGACGCTCTTCATATTTATCTATCATTCGGCAATCTTCGGCAGTTTCCGTAAAGCTGAATCTATTGCAGAATACAAGCGGAACTTTCATGGTAGCCCTTTCGAGCGTTTAGATAAATATTTCCGGTTATATAATGTCATTGCCAATAGAGCCTAACTTGCCCTGAATCTGTTTGTTGCCCTGACTGAACCTACTTCTTAATGTTGGAACAACGCGACTTTTATGAATCACATGAGTTCAGATATTTCTACTGTATGTCAATTTTTATCATAGTTTTGGTCAAGTCTCGTCTAGTCTAAATGGTCACATGTCAGTCATTATAAAATCACCCGACCTCACCACCGGTCATGTGCAAAAGTTATACTATAGCTCATGTAAATGATGAAACTCGTGACATAAGACCTGAAGAGCAAAGCAAACTTGATTCACCTTATGTAAATTTCCCCCATCCAAAGTTCACGTGATTATAGAACTAAACGCCCTCATTGACTCATTCTGTCGCCAATTATCGTCTCTTAAAAGTTAAAATGATGAGTATTTAAAAAAAAAATCAATTGAAAATTGGTAACATGAACTCATAAGGAAGAAGAAAATAAAAACTTAAATTTAAAGAGGGAGTGTGAAAAAAAACCTGAAACCATGATTAAGTCTAGGGTCATTTCTAGAAAATGTCTGAGGGGAGGACACAGTGGCGGTGCCAGCCTCCCGAGACTGGTGGTACAAATTAGGGACAGACTTAATTAGGTGTAAGGGGGAGAGGGGAGGGGGGCAACTGTCGGGGCCGAATTCAGAAGGCGGCAACTTTCTGGAGACGTCTTGTCGCACGTCTCTCATGGATCGTCTGATAGGGTCCTGCCAAGAAAGTTTTCGAAAGTGAATTAATTTGGTGCATTCTGACACATTGCGGGGCAAATATGTATAAATTATATTTTTGAATTTATTCAAAAAGGAGTAGGAGTACAATTGGGCGTTCAAACCATTTTCTATGAGGAGCCAGCCTCGCTGGAGCCGCAAACAGGTAACATAAAACGCACAGGGAAGAAAGTGAGTACATAAATTTAAAGGGTAGTGAGGGAAAAAAAACTGAAACCATGACTAAGTCTTGTCTCACAGTTACCAACAATACATCAAGAAATATAATAAGGTAACAAGTTATATTAAAGATCTGTTTCCTTGTTTTATAGAGTCAAATTAAACAAACTATTTGATTAATTGGTGTTTCTAATGAATTATCATGTATTTTTAATCAAAGTGTTATGTAATTTTGCATATAATTAAGAGTTTTAACCAATCATAAATGTCCATGATTGTACAGTCTGGATAAACAAAAAAAGACTTTTTGATCTTTCTTGATCGGTCACTCATGAGAATTTTACTGGAAATTCTCTTCTAATTTAGCTAATCATGAATTAATTATGGACATCAGAGACAAGCTGGTATTTGTCCAAGTAGTTAGAACACCTCTATTTTCTATTCATATAAGTATTAGCATTTTCATTTTCATAAATGAAAATAAGGGAACCCATCTTTAAGAAGTATATTTTGATTTTCAAATTAATTTCAAAATTTCAGGGAGTAATCCATGTTTTAAGAACTGGTTATGGCATGGTAATAACTATTTCAATAGCAGTCTGATTTTTTAAAGAAATTTTCACCATATACATTTATTGCCAACTCTTCATTACGGCAATTTATAATTATTCAAAAAAAAAAAAAAAAATTGTGAACGTGCAACTTTATTTGCATTAGACATCACACCATTGTCCATTTTGCGGACATAAACTGTACAAGACTTTCATTTTCCCAACATATTGTTTCAACTTCAAAAATATAGTTCAGTGCATATAGGATTTGGGATCATATGATATTGATTTAGACGGTTCTATATGTATATTGAATCAATAATAAAATGCATGGTAGCAGTACAAAACATCTGAAATTTCCAGAACTGTTCATAAATATTCCCCTCAATAAGTCACAGTACTAGCCAGCTATAAATAGATAAGGATATAGAAGAATGTCACGCAAATATAATATTATTCATACCAATCAATCCTTTTAAATCATTCTGTTACTAATGTTGGAACTCCTTAATTGTTTATTACCAAAAATAGGATCAAAATAAATGAAAATATCACCTTTGTATTTTTTCCGAATAAATTGTGCTAAAAAGCACGTATTCTGAAAATCACGCGAATTCTCCCACCATGTATAAAGCGTTGCGTTGAGGATTCAAAGATCAAAATAAACTATTAGTAAGAATTTTAGATTATAACATTGCGGTTAAGCAATGTTACGAAAGCACAGACACAGGCACGCAGACTTAACCTCTAGTGAGAGAGTATTGTTTGTGCAGTTAGTTTTAATAGTAGGTTACTGTAACCAAGGCATCTTATGAAATGTGCATAATTTGCGATGATTTATTTTTCTTTACATATCACGTTTAATGGGTTGGGTAATTATTTGCTAAACCGGTCATTATTAACTTCAGTGACATCATATTTCCCGGAAGAATTTTCTAAATCTATTCCCCCCCGCATCCCCGGAAGAATTTTCCAAATATATTCCTGTCCCAAAATGAATTAGTCATTTTGAAACGTATTTCACACGAAAACTATATTCAACGATTAACCATAAATTGATATAAAACCAATAGCTAAAAATGAAAATAAAACAACATTCTTAACACATTACTGTAGGCTACCATCATCGACACGTAGGCCTATTCTTCTCTAGGCATCATCAAAACGGCATCAGTTTAAAAAGTCCCCCTACATTCCTTTAGTTAACAGGAGGCTTTCTGTGAATTTCATCATCCAAATAAATACCAGCCCGATACTTAAATTGTATTAAACTGCACATTCAGTACATTGACCGCCTCAATTGTCAATAAATTCTTCATAATTTTCCCATAGCAATCGGTCAAACATGTCAAACTAGGAAACTAGCTGATGCAAGTTTAGTTAAACGCTGATGCAATCCACTTGACTACACTCAAAAACTAATGAATGAAATCGATCAGCCAATCAAATTACTAGAATGAGCTGATCAGGTGGTTTTCATTGGATGATTAGTAAGGTCACATGGGTTCACGTGGGGAATAGTATATATATACGTAAATAAACAGGATCAAAACAACTAGCTGTCATTTTGAACATGAAGAAGATCCTTGGAGGAAAACGCATATTCAACTAAGACTGTAACCTATATACTAACTGCTGTACAATGGATACCGATACACTAAAGCAACTAGTACTCAACGCTTCACATCTACATGTGTTCGGGTATGGTTCCTTATTGTGGAAAACAGACTTTAAATACGATTCCAAACAAGTTGGGTTTATTAAGAATTATGTACGAAGATTTGATTTGGGAAATTCAACACACAGAGGCACAGAGAAAGTGGTAGGTGTGAGCTTAAATAACTTCAAAGTTGACAGAGTCTTATACCTTGATCGTATGGTTTAAAACTAGATACAGTGGTGGGGTAGATATTTGGGTATTGGGTAGCTTTTTTGGTGTGGGGTAGATATTTGGGTATTCAATATTGGGTAGCTACTTTGGTGTGGGGTAGATATTTGGGTATTGGATAGCTACTTTAGTGTGGGGTAGCTTCCTGGTGTGTGGGGTAGTTACATTGGTATGGGGAATCTACTTGGATGTGGGGTAAGTTCCTGGTGTAGGTTAGCTACATGGGTATATGGGGCATCTACTTGCGTGTGGGGTAAGTTCCTGGCGTAGGTTAGTTACATGAGTATGGGGAATCTACTTGGGTGTGGGGTAGCCTCCTGTTGTATGTAGTAGATGCATCAGGGTTGGTTCTATATACCTATTCAATAGCCTAGTGGCCTACTTGTTGTTTGTCCATTAATAATGCAATTGTAACGGTCCATGAATAATTTAATAAAGGTAACATACGGTTTTAATATAATTATCTTAATCTAATTCGGGTTCATTATTGAAACGATATTTTCCATTTGAATATTATATCAGTCATGCAGAGCGATATTTGCACGTCTGCAAACATATGTTATGGTAGCATGTTGACCTACCCATGTCTACATATGGTCTAGCCTACATCATATGTATTTTTGTATAATTTCAGCCTGGACGAGTGGCTCATATAGAAGAAAGTCAAGGGGTAAGTCTATTTTAAGCATTCAAGATTCACAAGCCGTCAAATATTTGTTGAAACCTATATTTCATCATTGATACCATACCTTGCATTGCATCAGCCACGTGCTATTCTATTTATAGTATCACAAGGTCAAGATCATGTTTACTACTAGTGTTTAAGTCAGTTGGTGAGAGCATGTAATAGGTGTTTGGTGTGGAATTACTGTGGCCTTAACCGAATTCCTCGACGACTATAGAACTAAAAAGTATTTTAAACGTGGAAAATAGCGTTCTTCGGACATTCGTAGAGATTTAAGGCCTCTACAAATTTGATAAGTGTGACATAGACATTATTATCAACTTTAATGAATAAAACCATTTTTAAAATTAAAAAAATTACATTTGATTACCGATTTGATAATTTTTATTAAAAGAAATTAATTCTTGGGTTTCATATTCTTTTCAATCATTTTGCTTCTGCGTTCAAAATTCTTTGATCGACCGGCAGTAACCGATATAGATAAACCGCAGGGTTTTGACCTGTTACCTTTATTATTCAATAATAGAGTTAATGACTTACTGTAATATTGGTTTCTGGGTGAAGGTCATGTTTGTAAACATACATTATTTTAAGTCAAAATGTACTATTACACATCTCTGTCTTGTATTGGCTGACTATATAACACTAGGTATTTCAAGTCAGGCTAATCGCATATTGAATTGAACAAAATAAGTAAAAGAACTTATAAAAATGAAATCTTTTGAGCCGTTGGGTAGGCTTATTATTTATTCCACACCAGTAGACCTGTCTTGACCAATGACCAAGGATAACACTGATCTAGAGGCCATTATCCAACGACCCAACCGTGTCCAATATTTTTGATTATTAAAGAAAATTAAATTATATACATGCAGGAGTCTCCTTATTAAACAATCTCGAATAAAGAGGAAAGTCGGACGTAAAACTCCATTCAACCATTCGAGTTTCTTATGAGACAAATATTTTATCTTTCAGAGTAAAGCATGGGGAGTGGCCTTTAAAATTTCTGGAAAAGCAGACATTATGAAAGCTTTAAGTTACCTGAACAATCGAGAATGTGAGTTAGGGGGGTACACGACCCTAGTGACAGAATTCCATCCCAGAGAACAACCCAGCCAAACTATCACCGTCTTGTGCTACACTGCTACTCAAAATAACAAATTTTATCTGGGACCAACGAGTTACAAAAATATGGCAAAACAGGTTGTGTCTGCTCGAGGAAAAGCGGGAACGAATGTGGAATACGTCACAAAAATTGCGGACTATGTCAAATTTTACATTCCAGAAGATCAGGATGAACATTTGTTTGAATTAGACTACGAAATCAGATTTTTAGTGAAACAAAAACGATTATCGGCGAATAATAAGTTGATAGAAGACCATGAACTTCATATTCAGACTCTGATGGAACCAGTCCAAGCTTCATGAAGTATGACCGGAAGTGAGTTCGATATACGATGTATTGAACACATCCTGCATTAATTTCAAAGCTATTCGATTAAGTAGAGCAGTTACTGCTTGAGGTGATGGAAACGCGAGTTAGCTAAAGCGATAACAGACAAGTTAACAGCACTTCAAGACAGGCATATGGCACCGACATTTTTTGGAGAAGGCGAAACCTTTGACATTCGAAAAGATTCCAGGATGTTGTGATTGCCTTTGAAAATCATTCGGTTACAGGGTCTGCATCTAATATCAAAAAGAGCCAACAATCAAATCATACAGATAATGTGAACCAAGTATTATAACAAAGATCATCTTGAGCTAGACAACCGATTTACAAAAGCTCACACCAAAAATTTAGTCTTCCCGACGTGTTCACTCGTAAAAAGGGTAACATAAAGATCTGAATATATGCAATTTATTATTTTTATGTTTCTGTTTTACAAATAAGTATTTATTATTGATGTTATTGACCATTGTCTTTCTTGAGATGTCTATGGCCGATTTAATTATAAAACTTACTGAATGCCAAATAAATACATTTCCATTACGAACTTAACTCTCATTATTACAGATCCACCCACAGTTGGAATACGTAAGAGAAGCTTAGAAACATATTCATTTCCGACACAGGTTTTGGCATTGTTCTGATTTGGTAATGTAATAAGATGCAGGGGGAATGTATAACACCATTTCCAATGCAAAACAATACCTAAATATACCAATGAATATGGGAAATATAAACCACTTGGGTCTATAACCACCTGTTACGATAAAGAGTTCCCTCCCATTAACAGGTGGTTGTTGATATTAGTAAAGTGTTAGTGTTTCAGTTCTGTACATTACAGTACTATACGATATTAGTTTATACTCTATAGTAAATCTTCTACTAGTGACGACAAGATTTCACGTGCAAATTTTTCCCAGGGCAAGGGAACAATATTCATTATCCACGAACTATAAATGAATGGTGCCATTGTACATTAAGCAGAAAAATCCTCGAGCCAAGATCCATTTTTTTGTATAATATGGTTACACTGAAACTGCCAAGGACCAAGGGCCTTGCTCTCAAACTAACCTGAGATAAAATCTGATTGAATAATAGAACTAAATTTCAATTTCAGTAATTAGCCAACGAGATTCCGGAAAACTATAACCATCTCAAGCAATATCGATAAAAATACCTCTGATATAAACCTCGACCAAGCCATTTTGCTATCATATTTGTCAAAAGAAATACGACGAATTCGAAACCTTCTATTACTTATGTTACACCCTTCGACCCTCATATCCACTGACTTTGAAGGGAATTGTCAAGATCGTCAAACTTTCTGTCGCGGCTTAGACCTATATTTTAATTATAGAGTCTCTGTGGATTAGAAAGGACCCCTATATAGAGATAGAGTCTCCAGATACAAATCTTGATGAATAGAGATGTAAAGAAGGGCTATTCATCAAGTAAATCCTTTCTGTCTTCATGGATTAACTACTTGACAAATTTTGTATAAGGTATACGGGAACAGTGTTCAAATGGTTGAATATATATTCAACACAACCTATGTGGTATTTCCTGGAGTTGTATGGTCGTCATCTCGTTTTTAATATTCTTTTTAGAAACCACCGATGAGAAATTGATTTTGAGATTCTCGGCGATCATCAATGGAATTCATTTGTCCATCAATACTTTCAAGTTAGTAATATTTTGACGTTAACAAATGCCCTTCACGAATAAAAAAAAAAGGTCTGTCCAATGAACTTTTTAGTTCGAAGTTCATATTCCTATTGCAAATAATTTAAAATTGCGCTCGTGTTTCTGAACTTAACATAGTCAGAAGCCACAGGGTTGATTTGACTATAATTATATACTGTCACATGATGTAAGGAGGATACTCTTGACTCAATTATTATTAAAATATGAAATAAGCCAGAACTGTAATAGTACTATAATAAATGACAGAATTCATCAAACCAAGGGACGTGGATGACATACTGTATTGTATAAGGTCAGGGCATTAATAGCGAGATATGGAGAGCTTTTTCAAAATATGATCCACAAAGGGGGTGAGTCCAGGTGCTCTACTTTGCCCTTTGTTATTCATTATGAGTGTCAATGAATGTGATGACTATGAACTATTCATAATAATTTTATTGTTCTATACAATAGTGGTCGTTAATTTAAAATCTGTGTGGCTGTTGATTGAATTGTTACAGTTTTTAACCAGTGATTTAAATTGTCATTAAAGTGACACTTTCAACTGGTCTCTTTTCAACCTGAATTTGTCTTCGAATTAAGAGGACAATTTGTATATTGACTCAATGTACTTGAGAAGCATGTCAATGTCTCGAGATAATTAATGAGAAATGATTATTTGAATTACAGTATGTTGAAGCAGTCTGAAACCAAATAATAGAAGATATCAATAATCTGCAATATTGTTATCAGTACGAGTAGTGCAAGCTGTTGATCGTCAAGTTGGTACTCTGGTTTGCCTTGCTGTACTGAGTAACATCATTTTCAATGAGCGTGCCTATTTTATTTTACATTTTAATCAGATAAATATCAAATATAGATATTAAAAAAATGTTATTGATTGATATTCTATCGATGACGACGCATTTATTATTATATATTTGAGTATGTGACCGATTATCAACTGGTAGATATATGGATTAAGATTTAGCATGTATGCATACCATCAATGCATCCATACCATTAACCATACAATAATAATTATCATGATATCATATGTCTACTTTTTAACATGCACACGTTTTTCACTGCACTTACGCCAATTTCGACGTTTGACTTTAAACTAAAAGATGGGTATAGCCAAACAGAAAAGTCATTTGTGACCCAGCGAGTCATAGATTGTTCCAGACTGGTTCCAATGTGTTTAAATGGTCACTCGCTGATCGATCTCAGACGAAACGAAACAAGATATAAGCCCTCGACTGGGTTAATTAACTACAATTATTGAGGTAAATGAAGCCTGGAGTTAGTGATTTGAAAATGTAATATTCGTGTAAACAATTTAATTGAGAGATGTATTAATGACATTGGTAAATACTCGTGCCGTCTTATTCAGACAAATTACAAAATCTATAGACTCGGTCTCTTTTAGACTGTCTTAAAAACACATTGACATTTCATGTTCAGTAAGTATCATTCGTCATAATATTAATTAGCTTTTGTTTAAGGCTATTTTTGAATTTAAAGGTAGTATGCACCAAGTTGGTCTAAACAAACAGTCCCAAAAACGTCCGTCCGACCATCCAGATCCAGATCCTACCACGACCACCAAAAATATACCTATAGTCTGCGAAATAAGCTTTAGTTGGAAGCAGACGTGAACTACCTACCGTAGTCCAGGTGTGCCAGGACACGTTAAAGATACTTGACAGGTGCGAATAAAAGAGGTACCGTCTATACTATTTAACCTTCATTAGTCCATGCATGTCAGGTGAAGAGCTTTGATTCATTTGGCATAGTTTGTTATTATTTTTAATATTTTACAACTTGTATAAATATAGTGTTAATGCAAGCGAAATTGAAGACTTAAAAATGTCGAACCTTGTCCAGATGGCTCTGTTGTATTGTGAACGTCCGCCATTGACTTAACAACAAATAACCAACGAATTAATTTTCTATACAATATCATGTCGTGTGGTGTCAATTATTTGTTACCCAACTGTTGGAGATTACCATTATCTTCTTGTACCTTATGGTCATCCGTGACCTAATTCTAAATAGGGCCACAACACAAAGATGTCTTTCTAGCAAGGTGAACGTTCTTTAGAGGCGAAAATTGGAACAAACAGAACCTGTTCAGAACTCACCAATCAAGCGCCAACAAAGATATATGTTTAGCAAGGTGAAGGTCGTTCTATTGATTTCATTACGTGACCTTTCCTCCTGGAATTAGCTACCCAATACGCCTTCTTTCAGCATATGCTAAAAGTGTAATCCAAGACAAATGTGGGTCAATTACAATACAAGGTTAATCTCCCGAGCAGATGCAAGTAAATCCGCCTTGATTCTTCTGTTTAACTTTAAGTGTTGTTTGTGAAAATAAGGGGTAGAGATAAGGGCACGGGGGAGACACGATAGGTCGAACGTCTCCGGGGCTTAAACCTCTCATCGCTATTACACAATAGAAAGAGGGTAGGTCCCACAGACCTGTTACATAGACAGGGTCATATCGGCCTCTCTGATAATTTTGACTATTTTAAATTCAACTGTAAGAAAGCAACAAAAGATAGGGGACCACCTGTTTAAATCTCCAGTTGAATTAATTTAATTCTTTCGGCGCGTATTGTCTCTTTTGACAGTTTAAACGTCTCTGTCTCAAAGATGAAATTTAATAAATTGGTAGACTCAAAGTGGGAGTATGCACCGAATTACTTGGATTTATTTTAAAATATCTTTATAAAGTGGCCCTCAGTGTCGTATGGTAGCGAATAAGAATAGTGGTTATAAGTTTCAAACGCAACTCTCATGCAACTGAGAAACTCACAACCACTTTCATTATCAGCAACCGCAGGCAAATGGTAATCGCTATAGTAATGCGTTGAGGTTGCAAAGCCTATTGTTCACCCAAACCTCGGCAATATTATTTTGAATATCTTACTCATATAGCTGCCGTGTGCGTCCAGAGAATTATTATACTGTTTTTCCATTATGAAAGGTTCTGTGGCATTCAATACAGACCATATAATGATACGTTACATGAGCTTAGATTCGTATCAGATGGTCAAATGTTTTGAAAGAAAGAACATTTTTATCACCGTACACATAATTTACGGTCATTTTGTATCAAAAAATGTGAAAAGGTGTGAACAAATCGTTGATGAAAGCTTTTCAAATTTAAGATTTTATGGCCTTAGTTTATAATTAAGGTTGTTTAGGTTAGAGAGAGAAGCGTGAAGGTTTTAGAAAATCACGGTATTTATTTAATATAATTATAACCTTAATTCAATAATAACCTACAATATCAGGTAATATTATATTCACAACTTAGTAATTTATTAGTATTTTATGTGGACAAAATATAGGGGACACCTGGCTGGCTGGCCTAATGACTATTTGATACATAATTAAAGATGTGAGGTCGCGCTTTCTCTTTTTTTTTGCACGGACTTAACAACGGGACAATGCGCGTTGTCCAGCCAATCGATAGATCCATCATATTGGACAACACTTGAAGTTAAAAACCTTTATACGCATAGATAATCACAATTACTTAGAAATGGACTTTGTTGAAATTTTACTAATTCGGTCATATCTTGATTGAAGACAAACCAAACGTCAGATTTGTGTTCTGAATAGTAATACAGATCAAATAGTTGACTCTATTTGTTTAAGTGGAAAAAGCTTTGATCAATCAATTAAATGTGGTTTGTTTCTTCTTTAGAGGAATTTTTAAATTGTGATTCTAAGGCACTATAATATCCTCTGATCACTTTATCAGTAGGACGTAAAACTCCATTCATTTCATATCTGATCACTTTAGTCTGTATTGCCTAATGTGATGCAAATATGAAGCAGCAAAGGCTG